AAGGCACAGAACTTAATTAATCTATGTAAAAGAAAACTTCAAAACCTTTCCTGTTCCTTTCAAGCCTAAAGAATTTATCATGAATGATGTTACATTACACAGAATCTCACGGAGAGTCATAATGATTTCTCATTTATTATGAAAAGTTGCCAAGATAACAAACAATATAAAACTACGAATATTAATAAGGGAGTCAATTAAAGCTCAGTATCAGTTCACATCAAGATGCAAAAAAACCATCAGAACACTCCCAATAACTACAAACAAAACAGACACTTGTGAAAAGACTGAAAGTAAAGAAGCCCATAACATCTGATTGCTGGGAGAAACAAAACACTAAAGACTGGTGGGGATGGATACTGGAAGAAACCAAGAGTAATCTCTGCTACGTGACAAAGATATTTGTGTTTTATTTTAATGTGTAATCTATTTTATAATTGGGTTTTGTAGGTTATTTCATATATACAGCAGGATGTAAAACTTGGCTGAATCTTTTGTGCTAGATACTACACCTCCTCTACTGGAAGTTTTTGCAAGACAGTCTCATTCTGAGACTGGAATACTGGCTCAAGCATAGCTCTGCCTATGTACCCACTGAGCAGGACCCCCAGTCTTGGACTCATTTCCAGGCCTGAGTTTGACCCTGCTGTGCTGTTCTGGACCTGCCTGGTGCTTAGTGCTGTGCCCTGCCCTGGCTGCACCACTGGCCCTGAGCTCCAGCAGTTGCCAGTTTGGCCTTGGACCTGTCCCATCAGCACAGGCTTTTACACTGTTTTTTGACCCTTTGAAACTTTTTTTAACTGGTCTTTTAAAGTACTACTTTTAATGCAAGCAAGAGCAATACTTTTAGGCCACAGAAGATTTGAAGGAAACAAATTTGAGAAAAGCAAGAGGATGGAACTGAAATAAGAAAGGGCAACAGAGCAGGAAGGATCATCAATGAGCATGTGAGTTTGCGTGACAGATGAGAATTAAGCCTGGGGTACAGTGGAATGAACTCTCAGCACTGTGCTGGTACACAAAGGGCTTAATTTTACATAAGATTCTTACTGAAAATATCTGCCTTACTGTAATTATATAAATTAATAACAACATTTATTTACAGTTTTAAATGACTGATTTATTATACAAGACTAAAGATCATCTAAAGCTGAATACCTTCCTACCCACACTGCTTTGTGTAACTCAAGCAGAACAAAGCTGTCCAAGAAGCCAAAGAGCTTTGAGGAATGCTCTTTAATATGTGAAAATAGCTCAGACTCAGAGAAGTCTTTTGGTTCATGGCTTTTGATGTAAACAGTCTTTTTACCTTGCTTTTGGAACACACAAGTGTTACATGAGTTAAAATAGCTTCAGTTTAGAGAACAGCCCACAAATAATAATTAATTATGTCAACTTCTTTTTATATTTTGAAAGTAATCTGCCAGTTCTGACAGCCGGGAACCAGGGAATGTTCACAGACAAAAGCCTTGCATGTGATAGACATCTTTTGTTAAATGCCTCTTTATTTTCTTCTTATGGACCTTATTTCTTTTTGGCAGTAAATATGAAGCAATAATATGTTATAGAAGATCAGTTATGCTTACCTATTCTGTAATTTAAATTTGAGGAATCTCTCGTTGAATGATCACAACAGAAAAAAAGTACTTGTTCAAACACTATCTGTTTAAACTGATGGCTATGCATGGAAATATGGCTTTAGTTTAAGGAGTTCATAACCTGTAGCCAAGAGGTGGAGGTGGAAATTTTCATGGTTTAGAAATAATTTTATGCTTGTCTATCATTTTTTCTGTTATCTAGGCATGAATAATGAAACAGATTACTGGAAAAATGGCTGTAAACTGATCACCTCAGCAATTTAGACCTCAGCAATTGTTTGCTTCTCTCTGTATGGAAAACCAGGAAAGATTAATTACATTTTTAAGATGCCATTAAATGCTCATGATATTTCAAGCATTAAGAAACTTTCAATACTATCACATTGAAGCTTTCTTTTCATTTTTAATCCATTTGAAAATAAATATGCATTTTACTGTCACAGATCACTGTTTTAGTTAATATCAGTTTAATGAATATTACATAAAAATCAACTCTGCTAGTGGCTGCAGGTCATGAAGTCCAATTTTAGTAATATATCTCCTTTTAACACTGCAGTTACAGTCATCCAAACCATTAGAAAAGAGGAAGCACTGTTGAAGCCAAACACTTCAGAACAAGACACTCAACCCCAAATTTGTCACTACAATCTATATAGGTAGAGCATAGTTTTGTGGGCAGCATATCCCTCCTTCTCTTCCTGTGTAGGCATAAATGGCAGCTACTCATGTGGCCTACATAGGTAGAAAGGAATAAATAAATATATGTGGTTTGTTTTCCATTTAATTAATAGATTTTTAGTTGATTTTTTAAAATGTAATAAAATATTTTTTTCTCCTAGTTCAGTGATTGATTTACAGTTCTACAGAGACAAGTATCACTGGACAAATCATATTCTCTTAAAAACAAAGATCCTTGTCCCTGTTACTGTATTTCCTTAGGTTTGGGGTTTTTTTGGTTAGTTTTTTAAAGAAATATTTACTCCACTTTGCTTGTTTTGGAAATGCCCTTAATCAATTTTATGCCATTCATTTTAGTTTATGATTGACAGGTATATCTGTACATTTCTGGCTATTCTGGATATACAGCAACATTATTTTTACCTCATTGGTGCCACAGAGATTAATAATGAAATCGTTATTCCTACAAGTAGTAGCATTCACCACTGGATACTAATAATGCATAAAGAGTGAACTGACTGATTTATCCTATGGCTACTATGGAGAGGTGGAATAAAGTATACAATAAATGGCTGATTTTTAAAAATTCACAGTGATGCATTCATTAATTACAATATTTGGAGAAAAGCTCAGACAATTCCTGGGTTTTTTTGGTTTTTTTTACTAGTATTTTCCCCTTCTTTGTCTGTCTTTTTTTTAAACCTCTAGGAAAAAATAAACTGCTCCAATAAGAGGTCACTTAATAATTTACCGCATCCTTCAAATTTTGATTTAGTGAGTTTCTGCTTTATGGAAAAATGTTACTCAGTTACACTTAATTAGTCATCAGTCCACACCTAAAGTCAGCAGCCATAAACACCACTTATGTACATAACCAAAGAACTGACAAATAAATATCAGTCTAAAAAAAACTCTTAAGAAAGAAATTCGGAACATATTAATACTTAAATATTTACAGGACAGTTAATTTTGGTGTATAATACAGCTATTCAAAATATAGTTTCATCCACTTCCCTAATTTTTCAGATTTTGAGTACAAATGCAGTTATTTAGAATAAATTCACATCTCTATCCTTAAGTTTTATACCAATCATATATCTGCTCAGGACCTTTGAAAATACGTATTATTAGATAAAAGAACTTTTCATCTAAAAATAATAGTTTAGTGCTGACCCTCAAGTTAGTACTTATAAAGTTCATTTAATTTCAATAAAATTATTTGGTACAAAGGGGTAAAGGAAAGAATTTCTTAGTCAAATTGGGTTAACTTCTTTCAGTTTAGCTTAACCTGCTCAGAGGCTCAGATCTCTGTTGAAAATGACACGTCAGCACAGATGATATGCTAATGACTGGACATGTGCTTAGAAAAATATAGAGAAACAGCTCTTGAGTGCTTCCATTACTGACAGTTCTCACCCTGAGGAAGCACTTGTACTTCTCTGTAAATATCCTGCAAGGACTGACTAGGAAATGTAAACAGGCTAAGGCTGACAGGCACCCAAGCAGTTCTGTGGCACTTTGCCCATGTGCAGTCTCTAACTGTATCCCTGAGTTTGAGCTTTTTGTACTCTCTTATTTCCTGATTTTGTGTAGAAGTTACATGCACCAGGACTCTGCTTTTTTAGAGTATATGAAAAGGTTATTTAAGTGCATCAAGATGTTATTGCCTCAGAGAATACATAACTTAATAATGGAATAGTTTTCATTGTATTTTCTCTCATCTATCTAATTTTCTAATACCACTGCTGTTAGACATGATTTAAACAGGATCCAAGTGCCTGACACACCAAATATTCTTGCTGCCTTTCCCAAGAGCCTGTTCTACCCCTCATCAACACAGAACACCTTTTGGAGTGTCAGCTGCTCACAGTGTCTTTCCTGCACTGCTATAGATAAAGGACACTATGAATGAAATGTAATACAGCCTGTGACAGCTGCTATGAAAGCCAAAATGAACAGTAGAGGGAACTTTTTTTCTCACCAGTTTGCCTTTCAGAAGAATTGAAGTGATTATTCCAACACAGACAAAGCTCTCCCTGCTCTCACCACTGCTGAGTGGTGTTCTTAGAGGCCGACAGGGCTCCCTCCTGAGCATTCAACTCTACTCAGCAGAAGGTGATGGCAGAGAAATAATACAGTTGTCTCCACCTTATTCCTTGCCCCTTCCACCATTATGCATCATCATGTTCCACATTCAGAGAATCAGAAAGACAGCAATTACCTCCCTCCCACACCCTTTTTTTTCCCACTGCATTATTGTTTGTTCAAAAGAAAAGGACAGAAAATATTCATTCTCTTCTGGAAAACTTCCAGAATTGCAGGCAGCCTGTCTAGGTAAATACATTAGCATCAAAAAAGGAATCAAATGTCTCTCCTACTTTCCAGATGAAATGTAATAAAATAGTTACAATATCCAAGTCATGTCAGGACTTGCTTCCCTTCCTTTCTTAATCTTTCTAGAAGTCACCATGGAATAGCTGAACCCCATGTAGACACATGTCCAGGGGTGAGAACAGGACAGGTGCACTTGTAGTTGTTGTAAAAGAACATAGAAAAGCGAATAAATACCTGCAATTTCTTTACAAGTTTAAGAAACTTGCAGTCATATTCTTGCTTAAAATAATTTTGGATGTATCTTGTTGACATTCAGACATTTAAAAAAAAAAAAATCTAAAAAAAAAAACCCCCGATATCACACATGTCTGATGTGACAAGGTAAAATACCTGAGTTTGCTTTCCATGGATGACTGGCTGTCATTTGTATCTTGATGTGAATGTCTTGTATGTTGGAGGGATGTCTCTCTGTGCCAACCTCTGCAATCTAAATCTGTGGGTGTATCTGTAGAGAAGCAAAAAGCTGCTAGAAATCTTTCAGCCCATTTTACTTCTAAAAGAAGAAGTACACATAAAAATAATTATCTTAATTCATTAAATCTATAATAATAGCAAATTATCAAATCAATTGCAAACGTAATGATTCAATCACTTATTACAAGAAAAGCAAAAAGAGTTCCAAGATGATCTTCTGATTGCTGCTCTAAAAACTTTCAGAGGCCTAAACCAGTTACCTTCTTATAGAAAGTTCATTTTACAGTTTAAAAAATTATTGCTGGATTAGGAAGAAAATTGATCTTTTAAAATTTTCCGGTCCAACTTGCCATGTATTTCTTGCAGCTCCATGCACAGCATTCTGAAATCTGTTCTTTTTTGTTTGATTGAATTTTGGTTCTATGGGGGATTTTGTGTGTGTGCTTTATGTAGCAAATCAGGCTCTCTTTTAATCCTACATGCTAGGCATAGAGCTGTGGTGCTTTTTTTCCCCAAGTTCTAGGCTCTTGGGAGAAATGTGACAAGTCTGCAACTGCAGAACATTTTGCCCTAGAAATCATCCTATTAGCTTTAGTGTGAGGAAAGGGTTCATGATCTGAGCCCGATTGTGAGAAGTTTTCTTCCATGATGATGGTAAGAATTTGTGTGCCCATCTCTTCCATTGTTAAAGCTTTGCCTACAGATTGGGAATGATGCTTTGATTTATTTTCCAGCACAGTGTTTACCAATACCAGGTAAGCTGCCAGAAATTTATGTCATATCTTTTACTCAAACTAAATGCAACACTTGTGAAACAATCAAAAGATGAATGTAGTACTTTTGAAAACGGGATCTTTTAGTTTTCCGACTGCAAATGTTAATGCAAACGTTTAAATTATAATTGAATTATTACACTAAGTAAAGTGGTCTGTACTTAGAATTCTATACTTTGATGCATGAGTTCTCACAATCAGTCTATGATGATTTTTCAGGACCTTGGTTTTTTCTGATCAAAGTTGTATCAGAACAATGAATTTTCTCATTTGCTAATCCTTTGGTGTATCAGTGCATTAATATGGTGACTAATGCAGAAATGGGGATTAAATCTCATCATTTCTATTTTGTTCTTGTTACTTCATTTGCTAATTAATGTCTATGAAAAATGTGATAATGAGTTGGATTGAAACCAAGCCTAGGACGTGAGTTCTGCATGGTCTTTTCCAAAATTATTAATGAGGTAAAAGTTCTGTTGACTTTCAGTAGGCTACTTGGCAAAATGACATTTTTGCTCCCAAAACACACAAACGATTTTCCAAATTACAGCTATTACCAATTACTTCAGTAAAATTATCTTTAATTTCTTTATCTTATACTCTTTATGTAAGGTATAACAATGTCAAGGAGCAATCTCTAATACTGAATTCAAGGAAAAAAGTAAGACTGTCCTTTAAATTGTCTTCTGTTATCTCATTAAAAAAAAACCCCAACAATTTGAAGGAAAATTATCTTATTTCATAAACTCCTGATTACCCATTAAAAACCTTGACTTTCAGAGACATGAAAAATGTTTGTAATTAAACTGTAGTGTTTATCTAAAGTCAGTATTTTATTACTGTGACTTTGCTTGAAGAATTTTAAATATAGTAGGTCTTCATTTTACTTAGCAGCCTTTCAGTGAAGCTCAGTCTAGCTGGCAATGGTGAAATGCCAATTTATTGCTACCACAACTGACATTACATGATACTTCTAGAAAAAGCACTGAACTACTGATGAAAACACATTTCCATGTTATTACATGCAGGATTTCAAGTCCAAATGAAGTCATATTATTAAAGCAGCATGGGAGGCTCTTATATTTCTTCCCATTATCTGGCATTCTCAAATGAATATCTTTCAGGAATTGTCAAAAGTAACTGCAATCTTCTACCTTTCCAGCGTAATTTGTCATAATAAAGAGGCTGTGCTGATTCCAACAGTCAATAGATTCTCAGCTGCTCACAGCTGAGCTGAGTCATTCAATAGGATAAGCAATGAAAATGCCCTTGTCAAACCCCAGGGAGATAATCCTGGCTATCTCAATAGCCAAGACATAATACTTTTGAATTCTTTCCTCTATGAAGAAAACGACAGTGTAAGAGTGACCCCTACAGGATTTTCACAGTGCTCCGTGACTGCAGTCCCAGGGCCTGTCTTAGGAACTTTTTCAAATGTATTTGTTTGAAATCAGAATACAAACTTCAATGTACAAACCAACACTCTCTCCAAGTAGCAGCCTGTAATCACCAACACTCTGAATTTACATTTTGTAAACATACTATTAGAGTTCCTATACAAGGTTACACCAGGTTTCTAGACAGGAGAATGATGTAAGGACATACTTAAAACATTCTGCTAATTCAACATACCACAAAGCAAACAAAAGCCAGAATCCAACTAGGGCAGAGCTTATATTTTAAATTTTTTTGGCCAAGTAGTAAAAAATAAGTCATTTTCGAAGGAAAGGAAAAGGTAAAAGGAAATGGAAAAGGGAAAAGGGAAGAAAAGAAGTAGGCCATGTCTTAGCTTATAAGAAACTAAAATAGTCCACAGTCACTCTGTGAAAAGATATGTATTCCACCTGATGTATTAACAGGAGTGTAGTCATGTATACTACACCCTAAAACAATTTACCAAGGTTAATCAAAGATAATGCATTTTAAATAAAAATTAGATAATCAAAGAGCATATTCTTGGTATAACTTCTAGTTCTCCTTTTCATATAGTATATTATTCACACTTCTCTTTTTTTTACTTTATTCTTGCACAAACTTTAGGATTAATCTTTTCAGACACAGTTCATTAGACCATTTAAAGAGTAAAATGGTAAGCTAAATTGTTAAGCTAAATTATGTTTGTGACCTTATTTGGAGCTAGACCATGTCATATACATGGATTGATAATCTTAGTAAAGTACATCTCTTTGTATTGTATCTCTTTGTATTATTTTATATCAAAGGCAGACAACCTTTGCTAGGAAGGTAAAAAGTGCTGTCAAGGCCTGGATTTTACTAAAACTTACATTGTGCATTGGTCAAAGCTGATGTGATGCAGAGCTGTAACACACAGGCTCTAGTACTGGCCCTGAAGGAGGATCCTCCTTTTCTAGCTCTGCAATCCACACATGGATCACCATTAGCTGCTGAAACTCATCCAGCTCCTTGTTTCATGTGGTTCTTACCCAGAAAGTTACCAGTACCAGTTGTGAAAATGCTCCAGTGATGACTAGGCATTTAGGATTCTATAGAAAAATTGCTATTTGTTGTTGTATTTCAGGAACTTAGATGAAATTACAGGAACTCAGAGAGAAATAGAATGGCTGGAATGCTGGACCTTAATCTGGAACTCACCAAATGGCAATGCAAAGTAGACATCTAGTAAGATCTCATGAGAAGTTGGAGTCTTTGTGCCTTGAATCTCACTTCCATTTTTTATTACTTCAGAATGCAATCTCCACCAGGAACCTGGGCCTTCCTAGGAAGAAGAAGTTACAGAAATGACCTGGGCAGGGTTCATAGCATTATCCACTTTTTACTGAATGAAGCTTCCCCTAAGTCAATGGGAACTTCTTTATAACACCATTTTACTATTTTCCAGCTTTTGATGTACTAGTTAGGATTTTAAGTTTTCTCAGTCATCAAATTCAAAATATAGTATTTGCAAAACAATATAGACAAATAGATATTAAGGTTGTCAGATGATTAAGACAAATAACAAATATGAATGTTGAAAATTATTCTTATCAACTGAGATTTTCCAGTTCACCTTTGAACTTGTGCCAAACAAGTACACTCTAGCAAGACTGAAACAATCCATCTAAGTTAATAACCAAGCCAAAAGAGAGCTTCTAAAGTAACACTCCCTAGTAGGTTATTTCTGAGTTATAAAGCCCAGAACAGAACTGCAAGGTTAAGACCAGGACGATAAATAACTAGGAATGTTCCACAGTGGACTAATTATAAATGAAGGTTTAGTGGATATGAAGAAATTAAGAAACAATCTCTTATCTTGTATTTTTGTTTGTTTAAAGTTTTAGTATTTGTAAATAAGCCACAACCTTTGTGTCAGCAACTTGTAACTCAGCAACAGCTTGGGCAGCAGAGCAGAACAACTTGCCCTAAGGGTTGAAATGGCACTTGGCAGCTGAGATAGAGAGCAACTTCTAATTTAAGAAGGAATTACTTTCTTCTCTGCTTCCATTTTCTGAGAAGAATCATTGAAATGTCAGTTCAATGTATATATTAATATTTATTAGTTCCTGTAAAGAAATGGCTATAGAGTCTGAGGAGAGATACTGCATGAAGTTATTCTCTGATTTTCTTACCTTTATCCCGTCTTCAATTGCCTTTTTAAATAATTTTAGAAATATTAAAGAAGGCAAACAATTTATTTGCAAAGATTAAATTCACCTTCTCTAATTCATAGTTACTTCTTTAAAAATAGCCTCCATGGACTATGCATATAAAAGTATATTTATGATTGGGAAAATCGTGGATTATTAGAATAAAGTATCTCTTACCTTTTCCAAATTTAGAAAATTTTGCAGCAATTGCAGTTTCCTTCAGTATTTCCACACTCCCAGAAACCTTTTTTCTTTATTTTATAAAAATGAGCTCCCTACTGAAAGCAAGTATGGTCATTCTGACTATGGTGACTATGGTGGATACATAATTCCTGTATTGACCCAATTTCCCCACTCATCCTTTCCTATGTCCCCATTGTACTATTAATTTCTTCTGTAGCACCAGAGGGCACATTTCTGTTTTCTTCTTTGAGACAATGGTCAATTCCCATGAAAAAGAGAACAACAGTATTTTTCCCATTTTAATAGATATTTACCCAAGGTCACAAAACGAAGAGCCAGACCATGGAACTTGATCTAAAAATCTTTCACTCAAATCATATAAACCAAACCATCCCTGTCTTCCTAATTGTTCCCGAGTGCTGCTGAACCCTAACTCGCCTTCTATGTTATACCTGGCCCAGGATCTGAGCCATTTCTCCAGGGCATATGGCTGATGCATATCAGTTGTCACTTTGAGAGCCACATTATGCCTTAATATTTCAACTGAAGCAAAGGAGTTAGAAATATACATTGATCACAAATGTTATTACAGTATTTGGGGAGTCCAAGAATGGGAAATTTATTGAATTTTACTCAGTGTTTTATATTTCCACAGAAAGTCAACTTACATCTGTTGCATATTCCACAGTGGCAAGGGGAATCCATAAAACTCCTAAAATGCTATCCCAGAGCAAGCCTTTCTTCCACAGCTCTATAATGAAACCCTTTCCATCAGCACTGATTTCACTATAAAGAATGAATACAGAAATCATTAAACTGAAAACGTAATTTCAACTGTTCAGTAATCTATAATAATAATTTATTATTAAATTATAATCTTACAGCAGATAGAGAGGTGGAGGTTTTGCAGTAAACTAGCAGGATGAACAAGCCAAAACTCAAGTCTTATATTTCAGGATTGCCCTTACAAAATTATGAGGATAGTTCTGCTGGAACAATGGGAAAACCTCTCCCAACTTCAAAAGTTGCAGATCCAGACTCTATTTTAGTTGTAATTATAGAAGACATGCATTATATGGTTTTGAGCAAAAAAATACCAAAACAGAACCTTATTTTGTAAGAATTTAAAATCAAATATTACCAGGCAATATCACACCCCATGACATTGAATTAACAGGAATGTAATTTCCTCAGGGAATGTTCCCCATTACATACCATGCTGTAAATATGAACAATATAATAAAGTAGTATTAGTGTCTCTGCTGTGACTCATTGCATGTAATCTCCATTAACTTTAAGTAGTAAAACTTATCTTCAACTCATTTGTGTTTATTTTCCTGAAGTCATCAGGAAAAGAACAAATGAAGTCAGAGAATGGAGAAGGGTGCCTCTTCTGAGACAGCTACTTGTATCAGCCCATTGCTCTCAAAAAACTATTCTGCATCAATGCCTGATTTTCTGCTGCACTTGTTTAGCACAATTGAATTTATATATTCTTGGAGTTTAAGTTTTTGTTTTATTCAGCTCTTTACGAATTGAAGACTTTTATCTTCTAGTATTTTTGGACCACAACCTTCAAACTGACAACTGAACAGTGCAACTGCTGATTGAAAGGTAAGGCAATATGCAACTTCTAATATATCTGCATGTAAAGGAACACAGTTTTTACCAGCAGACGTGGAGTGAGAGTCCTTAAGTTAATAAACCATAGTGTATTAAAATCTAGATAAATTTATTTGTAAATGCTCATTATTATTCCCTTTTCAAAGTCTGTTGTGTTGTATAGATGATTAGGCAGCAGATGGAGCTACAGCAACCTGGTAATGTAATTGCTACAAAAATGGTTTAGTGTTCTTTGGTAATTAGTACACTGCAAATGAAAAAAATAATCCTAATAAATTGTAATTGGTCATTTTGATGATGGTATGGAACATTCATTTATATATAATATGATCAACAGCATTAAAACAAGAGCAAATCACACGTTTTAAATAATAGTATAACATTCCTCAGGAAAATTTAGAGGTTAGGTTACACACATTCACTTTAAAATATTTTTTAATTGCCTCCTGCCCAAAAGGTAACAGACAGGGCAAGTGTTGAAGTTCAATCAATCTACTTCCTGAGAAACTTTTACACTGTCATCCAATGCATGCCAAATGGTTTATAAAACTATTATGTCTAAATCAGTGAAGTTCTGAAATAATCATCACAGCAGAGTATTATTGTAGAGCAATGATTCCTCTACACTGGAATACAACTAACTTTTCTACAAGTGAAAGCTGCAGTATAAGAACAGTGTTTAAAAAGGTCAGCTATTGGTAATAACTTTCCTTAGCATTTTCAAAGCCAGATAGGATTCTCCTCTTTGGATAATTGAGGCTGTGCCTCTGAACAGTCTTTGGAGAAGCCTGGTGACCAGAGAGCTGGGGAGGAATTAGCCCCTGATTAAGATTAGTTCGATGTGGCCAGAAGTCAGATTTTTTGATTACTTCTATAATATGTCATTATATCTGAAGAAAATGGCATGTAAAGAAAGTACATATGTTAATCTAATGTTCTTCAGCTACTCAGAGTCTCCAGCTAAGCAAGACAGCAGTTTGCTACAGCTGTCAAGAAATCAGTTGCATGAAACCAAAATAATATTCCCAAATCAAGCACTATCTTCAGAAAAAAGCTGTGATGAAGTTAAGGCTCTAAAAGGAGATTAAGAACAATGTGTATTACGTGAAATAACCAGGAAGGAAAATTGGAGAAGCTTTTAGAAGTTCCATTTTAAATACAGAATAAAGTGAAATTAGGGAAGAGTGAGTTATTTCAATCAAAATGTCAGTTTCAGCATACAATCAAAATATATTTATACATTTTGATAACCAGAAAGTATGGCAAAATTATGCAAAACAACTCATTCTTTCAACAAAATATGGAAATATTTGGATAAGAAAAAACTAAAATTGTAAAAAGGATAGTCTTCATAAAAAATCACTGAAGAAAATTAAAAATTTAATTCTGTAAACATATATCGACCATCTGTAGACCTCAAGAATAAAATTTTTGTTTCCACAACAAGGATGTGATCACAGGGAAAGACTTGTGCAAGGAAAAAGGAGGGACCAAAAATGTTGGAGATGGATATACTAACTCAGAATCTAATGGGATTATTTATTTATTGGGTTTAACTGCTTTGGAAGTGACAGTTGAAAGCATGTTTCCTCAGAATGTCAGCCAGTGTAAAAGTGTTTGGACTCTGACCTGTGAGGTGTACATAAGGCTCTGCAGAAAGGAGAGCAATAACAACTGAATAACAAGAAGGAGAGTGAAGTGGGAAAAGATCTGCAGACAGAAGTGAGAATCAGTATAAGTCAATGATAAATAAATTACCTAAAGTGGCAGTTAAGTAGATAAATTAACGTATAAAATAAGAATAATTCATAATGAAACTGAGCAAACAAAAATCAAGTTGTGTGAGGATCAGTTTGAGTTCTTTATTGTCTCATTCCCTGTATTCCTAAACCATTATATAAAATTAAATTTGGAGACAAATTCTTCCCCTTGTTGGCTGCTGGGCTTGATCTGCCATGTGCCTTGCATAATTAACTTTAGTTGTGTTCCCTAGAGATAGTCTGGCACCTTTTCTCCTCGCTGGATACTTGCTCTTTGCTTTTGTGCTCCGTACATGACCTCACATGCACTAAATTATTCTACACTATAAAAATACAGCAAAGATAGAAATAAATCAATTGATAAGAATTCCCTTTTACTTACAACATGAAGTCTTGTTCCCAGCAAGGCTCCCTTCCTCTTCTATCTATTGTAGTGCTTTTTAAATTTTGAACTTTTAAAACAATGTACGTTTTGGATGTATCTGAAAAACAAATAACCAGCACATTAAACCCCAACTTTAGTTCCTTCCAGAAAATGAAAACACAACCATATGGCAGCAAGGGTTTAACTCATACTTCATACACACCTCCACTCAGAGGTGTGGGTCAAATATGTGGGTGTGAACAAGGAAATTCTTATTAGTTTTAGTAGGATTATGACAGGAAAATCTCTGCCCATAACAGGTGGGAGAGAACATAATCCTAAATGTGAGTATTTTAAAGATCAGCTTCCAGACAGAGTTTTACTGTTTTTCAGTTTCTCTGGCAGCTCTCACAAGAAACCAGTACACGCTCCTTTTCTACAAATTAGGATTTTTCTTTTGCCTTTTAATTGAGACAATAATATTGGGACTGGCTAATGGGCTTTTATGTCCAATTAAGGCAAGGCTATAGACTTGCAATATGTAATTCAGTCTCTGTGCCTGGATCAAGTTCTCTGCATAGATGCAGCAGCAAAATGGTTTCAGATGCAGTCTCAAATGAACTCACAGATTTTTATAAATGCCTCTGTAAAGGCACAGTGTGAATATTCATAAAATTAGACCTACTAGGCAAAAAGAATGAAATTTTTTAAATTTCAAAGTGCTTGGAAGTATCACTGACAGAAAAAAAGCAAAAGAACTGAGGGAAAGTTCTATCCTGTAGGGCCTGACACAGGAATCTAAGGTTGCAAAGGCACATGAACATGGCTTTTTATTTGCATGCATATACACATCCTTCACTACCCTCCAGCATCCTAGGCAAGGATCAACATGGACACATGACTGAAAAAAAATCTTATTTTTTTAATACAACCGCTGACAAAATACATACATATACAAGACAAAGCCAAGAACAGAAGTTTTGAACTGTCTGTTACCACAGGTCAATCAAACACTTGGAGCTGGAGGGAAGCTGTCACTATCTACAATAGATCACTGAATAGGCTGTTTCAAATTACACTGCACTTAACAAAAGGTGTGAAGGAGAAACGTTGGCTGTGTACAACCTGGATGTGGATCTTATTGATTAGGACTGATTATAATATTTGACCAAAGGACTAAAGATATCATGTAACGGAAATTTTTTTTTAATTAAGAAAGTCAACAGCGGCCAATGTTATCTATTTATTTTCTGTAACTCAGTACACCAGTCTTCTCAAACATGACTTGTTTTTAATACTGAAAAAATGTGACAAAGTCAATACGAATTTAGAAGTCGGGTGACTTATTTGTGAGAAATGGCATCAACAAGGCATGGTTCACACACCACCATTTTGTGTAACTGAAGCAAATAAAACAAAAAAAAAAGCTAAATCTTTTGTAGTTGCAAAACTTTTTTAATGTTGGGAGAACTTGCAACTCAAAGTTTGAGAAATTTTTGAAAGTACTCTAAATTGCTTGGCTGAAACCTACAATGTTTAACTTCAACCATTTAGATCACCCATGTAAATTAAAACTACAATAACAACTTCCCTCATAACGAAAAGGTATTTCCTTTAAATGAAGCCATAAATTACAAGGTAGAAACTTAAACCCATAATTTTAGTGGTAGTCTGTTTTATTGTTGTATTATTTCATATTCAGCTCTAATTTTTCCCATTTCAAAGTTTCATGTTACTGTGTGCCACACTGGATGATCAAACCTAATCACCTGGTATCCTTTTACAGCTCCTTTTCTAGCATGAAAAATAAAACATCTCTTGGACTGCCTGCATTATAGTCTTGTCTGAAACCCTCTTATCTGCTTTTTAAAAATAGCTGTTTCTCCAGTAGTTCCTTGGCCTCTTTGGCTCCTCTCTGGATCTAAATCTTACTCTTCAGTGCTTTTTGACTAATTCACCCTCTTTAAATGTCATGAGTTGTGTCAAATAAGAAAATGTAGACACTCTGCCTTTTAAATAACTGAATATGTAACCTTGAAGAATAATACTGTGAAGGGTGAATATTATTACAATACCCTGGCAGTGGAAAGGAGCTATCAATTTTGCTAAATGATAAGAAGTTTTGTTTCCACAAAGCCATTACTGCAGCTTCCAACCCTTTACCTGTCAAACACAGGAGGCAAGTAATGCAATTTTTGTGGAAAGAAAAAAGGCAGGATATCCATCTGCTCATATCTTCAGCTTTCAACCCAAAACAGGGCAGAGCAGCTTACACAATGGAGAAAATAAACAACAAGAGAATCACAGAATTGTGAGAAACATGGGCATTTCAAGACTGCTCTCATTCACCACCTACAGAATTGTTCTGCCCAAGGAAACATGACCAACTATCAGAGAATATACCACCAAACTTTATTGCCATTACTTATGGCATTAAAAAGACTTCAATAGCATTTAAAGGAAAATTAGAGTTACTTATATTCTATCAAATTATTTTGATAATCATATTCTGTAAATCATCAGCTCTTGAGTAATAACAAAATATAACATTATGACATGTTTCTGATTTCATTAGGACTTCAATGAAAGAGAAAAGACTTTTCAGTCTATACTTTGCACACATATTTAATGGCCTGTTGTTAGAAAAACTAGCAGTTCTACATTTAGGAAACCTTTCTTTAATTCAGATAACTTTAAACCACTTGAATTTGCTTATATCTATTAGCCAGACATTTAGTGGCAATTTTTGCTGCACTGATTAAGTTGTATGTCAGCTTCTCCTGAGAACTAGTCCTTACAAATGCCTTGAAGGCCTTGGATTTACAGTCAACCTGTGTGTGACAAACCTCTGGCTGTTTGGACTTTCTTTTCCACCATGGCTAAATCTTGGTCCTGGAGACAGATGTGTGCAGACCTGAGCAGCTTGGTTTTGCTCATATTTATTGCCTAGGGTACACATGTGCTCACTATAACTGTCCATCAGTGTCTCCTGTCTGTATTTCTGCACTGGGAAAATTCAGACACCATCTCCTCCCTATCATTGCTAAGCTAAAGTACTGTAGTCTCCTAATTAAAAAAGAAATTCTATTGACCAATGACACATTCAGGTCATCAAATTATGTAAAATTTTGCTTTAGTGGAAATATATGTTAAATATCACTAGTTTGTGAGACAATGGTATTTCATAACTTAAAATTACAAATTCTCTCAGCTCACAACTTTGGTTGATAACTCTATCTTTAAAATAAATGCATAGTTCTTTACACATTTATTTTGTACTGTACTGTTGATCCAACGTGTCAAAGTAGCCCCAAACTTAAATGATTTTTCAGTGTGATACAGAATCCTATGCCTAAGAAAGAAAAATGTAAAGCAGAAATTGAAGGGGGAACCAAACTTACCAGATGTTTTATCCAGCCTCCCTTTTTTCACTGTATTAAAAAACAAAAAACAAAATTATTACTTTCAGATAATACCTTAACACTGTTTTCCAATAAGTTTTATGAAAACTAAAATCTAAGGGATTTATGTGACATAAAAAAAAACTCAACCAAAAATGAAACCAAATAATCTTTTTAAAGTCTCACTATGGGAAGATAATATGATTGCTTGGAATTCTTTGGGAAAGAAAACGTGAAAACTCTTTGTACTTTACAGGAACTTACTAAATACAGAGAGAAGAATGGAGGTCAGGTGTCCAGGAAGGGTATTATACTTATTATTCAACACCTCGTAATGCTAGTTCTAAATTCTTCCCAAAAATAGTCCCAGAAGACTGACTGACTGTATATAATCTAAAATTACTTCTATCATTTTACAATTAATCCTTTACTACAGTGTGCTTATTCTGTTAAAAAGGACATACTTGAGTAAACACCTTACCAAATAAAAGTGAACATTTCAAATCCTAATTTTGCTCAACAATCTAAAGTTCCACTCTATGGTATCTCTTCCATTAATGAAAAATGCTCTGAAGCTAACAGGATTATGATTCAGGTAGTCATAGGTATGAACATTTAACCTGGTCATAATATTGTATCTGTGTCTGACTAATAAAGTTCAGTAAATTTAGACTTTTAAACAATATTAAATATTCTTTCAATTTCCCTGCCATGTCAATACATGAACCACATCTCAGTTTAATTTGAATGAAACATCACTGCAGTCCTACAATAATTAAGCCTGCTCTATGAATATATTAATGTATACATCATAAACTTTACTGCTATACTTTAACAAAATTATGAGTCCACAACTTTACAATGGAAAGGTTCCCAAGACATTGCCATTGTTTTACAATATCTTTTCCAATTTTCTTAAGCTCCTGTAACTTCCTCTTACTTATTCTTGCTTTCATCTCTCCCTAAATATCCCTAAGAATTCTATGGAACTGCACCATATTTGGAAATGTCTGTCAGCCTAATAACTCCATCATGTCTCACACCAGGAAACTTTCACTTTCAGCACAAATGCTGAGGGGCCTAAGCAACAAACAGTGGCCAAACACTGCAGTAATTCAACTGCACTATGAGATTCACATAGTTCCCTTGAAGGAGGTACTGCAAGGAATATTCTCACCAACATCAATGAGCAACGCACAACTCCACTCTGCAGCTGCTTCTTACAGCTGCGTACTAAATACTTGTCACATGGATGAAGGAGCTCAATAAGAAAAACCTACCTTTTACAGAGAGGAGTTCCATTCCAGCAGAAGAATATTTTACAGACCATACATTGAAATTCAGGGGTTTTTTTATACAAAAGGAAAATAAATAGTTTGGCTGGAATTAAATTACTCTTCTGCTGCTGCTCCCTCACTGCATGTGTGTTTCACTTTTGCAGCACGCTCCTCCCATGGCTCACACTGAGGGAAGCCAATCAACTGATGGAGCACAGATGACAAATTGCTTCTCCCTGTTTACACACAGACATGGAAGAGGAAAGAAGAAATATTACAACTATTTCCTTACCCTCCTTTCCTCGGCTTCTATCTGCTGTATGCAGCTGTCTCCAGTCTAAACACATTTCCGAATGCCATCTTTTCCAGAAGTAACAAATTCAGTGCAACTATTTTATTAAGAACATTCTTTTGGAGCTCTTAAGCTTTGATTTTTATACTTGCAAAGCAACCGATTTGGAATACAGAAAGTTTAAGGCTTATTTTACTACAGAGCCACAGATAACACTTAATCTATAGCTAACCATAAGTAATTTTATAATATATTATAAATAAATACTGCACAAAAAATTGAATTTTATTATACTTCATGAATTTCTAATTGTTGCAGCACTTAATAAGCTAATAAACATTCTAAATGAAATCCTAAAACATTTTAGAACAATATTCAAATTATTATACTCAACAACACTGAAATGATTACTTTTGTTCAGATCATACTGTACTTTTTTTTTGTTTTTGTTTCTGATTGTGATTAACAATATATGTATTTACACATAGACAGAATATTTTACCTTGTAAATGTTTGAGTCTCCATCATATTAGAATTGAAGGCTGAGGTCTTGAATTCAAGTAGGGGAGTGTCCTGGGATCAGAGGGGACTTCAGGAGTGGCTGTCTGCAGTTTGAAGAAACTGAGTCTGGAAGATGGCCCACCTCAAAATGAGGTGAGAGCTGAGATTGTTTAGCTGGGCTGTGAGAAAGCTTGGGGAGGTGGGGTGGGTTTAATCAGTATTTATAAAAACCTGATGAGAGGTATAAACAAGACTGACTCTTCTGATTGTTATCTAGTAACAGATGAACAGGCCAGGTGCACAAACAGAAACTCACAGAAACAGAAAACTCTTTCTTTTTTTACTGTGAGAAGAGTTTAACACTAAAATAGTTTGTCCAGAAAGGATGTGGAGTTTTTTTGCCCTTGGAGATACCTGAAATATGACTGAACCCAATCCTGAGCAACCTGCTCTTGCTGACCCTGTTTAAAGCAGGGATTTTGGACTAGATGATATTGAGTTTCCTTCCTTGTGATTATGTGATAGTCCACAAGGTCAAACTGTTAAGTGTGACATTGAGGTAAATTTAATTCAGGAGATCGTGAAAGCCTACAGTCCCTACACATAATGTGTGCAGCTTTTCGCCCTCCATAGAAGTGTCATAAGAAGTACTTATGTTGTTTCAGGCTCCTGCTACAATGCCATTATGTGAAGTTGTTAAACTGTTACATTTTGGTCTTGTGTTTTAGATTAATATGTTTGCATATCTCTCTTGTGAGTTCTGTTCTGAACAAGCCTCCCACAGCAGACTGATAGTCTCAGAGACAGGTTTCCACCTTATGCAAACAATGGAGTTCTAGTGAAGTTTACAAAGCTAGTCTGGTACACACAGGATGAGACACTGATCCCAAGGGTGCATTTCGATCACATGAAAAAAAATATTGGAACAAAAACCTAATCACTGCTTAGGAAGGTTTATTAAGTAGAGTTCATAGTAAGCCTTAGCATGAATCAAACTTACACAGCTGCATCTCTGTATCCATCTGGAACTGCACAAACTTGGCTCTCCTTCCTTTCTTCCATGCCCATTTGCAGATATCAGAACCCAACATATGGAATGCTGATTTTTTTCCTTGAATTCTTGGATTGCAGCTGTCACTTTGGCCATTGTTGTTCATTTACTCTCCTCTGTCATGCCATTATTGTTTTTTACATGAGCAATTCAGAAAGATGTTATGATTTTATGGTAAGAAACATGAAGAGAATACCTAAGCATAGGCAGAAGGTCACTGTGGACTGGGAACAGGGCATGTGCAAATGCTCTTTCATTTGGAAAAAGCATTTATTATATTTAACAAAAGAATAGTGAAGAGCACTGAGCTGGAACAAGCTATCAAGATGGTGTTTGGCTAAAGGGCATAAGAATAGAAGCTGCAGGACAAAATCCATGCTTCAGTACCTCAAGTACTTACCCTATTACTCAGCCATGCTTTCCCCCTTTCAATATTACAGTTATTATTTGATGCCCGATATAACAAATCAGTCCTATATGCTGATTTCAGTTAAAAGGTCCCAACGTCACAGACCTATATGCAGAATCGAGAATGTAGAAAGAAATTTGGAAAAAAAAAAAGAAGCAAAGTTAATTGTTTACATTGTATTTTTAAACTAAACTGTTCTAAAACTGCTTATAGTTTCAGTTCACTCTATTCCAAAGAAGAGAGTAATTGGGTACAATGCTGTTATTGAGGATGTGTCACAAGGTACCTGACACTGAGTGATCTGCTTCCATGAAAGCTATGTAGTTATTTTTCAATTCAAATTTTCAGCTGATATAAGGAGAATATGGTTCTTTCAATGAGCTTTTTTTCTACTGAGAATCTGCCTCTTTTTAACTTCTTCCTTTATATGAATCCATACTGCACATATTAGCAAATTAAAGATGGCCAGCATCTATCAGTTAACTCATCAAAAGTAAGGAGATTTCACTCTGATGATTCACCTATTTGGCATTAAAACTACATATTGTTCTTTTCAGGAAGTTCCTCCTCTACCGGATACTTGTAATGCAATGACTAAGGTCATGAACTCATAGATTCTAATATACTATTTTGCAAAAGGAAAATAGAGCACATTTGAATACTGATTGCAAAAGAATGTGGAAGACAACATCCCAACTTTGCATAGGAAAATGAAAACATAGATTATTATTGTTTAAAGATATGTCAGTTATAGAAAAGAATATTATTTTAAAGATGCTGGTGAGAAAAAAAAAATCTAAATTTCAGTTGTTATTACTGAGTGTAGAACCAGTCTCCTTGCATCCCCTACATTTTTGTATAAGACCATCTTGAAACTGTCTTTTCTTGGCTAATTTTATGCTTACCCATGTTTGGTTTCAAAATTATGGCTCTGGAACACCAACATTTTAACTATCTTTTTCAGAAATTCTTCCCTTAAGGAGAAAGAAAATCTGCTCCTTTGCAAATTAATTCAGAGAGCGAATTTTTCAGCTGATCAACATTCATCAGAACCTCCTTAACACTTGCTCATGAAGAAATATGCCAGTCACCTGAGAGGAGCAGGTCATGAAGTGTTTTTTTGCATTCCTCTTGAAGCCAGTCATTGGCTTAAAATGAGAACTATTGGGAGAAGATTTTTGTCTAGTACGAGGAAAAAATGACGTGCTCTTCTGATCAAATTCAAAGATAATTCGCTATATTATCATTATGTGCTGCCTATCACATAATGATAGAAACTTGAAACCCACGAACAGGAATTCAACCAGCAAAGCAAGAAGAATTTAAAAAAAAAAAAAAAAAAAAAAAAAAAAAAAAAAAAAAAAAAAAAAAAAAAAAAAAAAAAAATCACTTTTCCTGGGCAGTTAATTTCTACCTTTCAAAAATATAGATTCTGCATTCCCAAGTGTATGCTATAATTTTCAGTAAACTTCATAAATGATAAAAGATAGAAATAATGAACTCTGTAACAAAATACGCTATCAAGAGATACATCATCAAAGTGACAGGATAAGCAGAAAATCAATCAGTTGATTTCTGACCCTGAAATACCATGAGCAATATTGAAGATAGGAACTACAAATTAGATCAGTTTTGTCCTTGCCTCCAAAAGATAGGCACAACTATGGTTAGGGATAATCGGTGATGTATTCTGGGCTTTACAAGAATCACCTTGATAAATGAGTTCAAAGCACTCCATTGACCCTTTTCCAAGAAGAAACAAATGAAAGACCCTCCTTCAAAATGTTCGATGCTATTAAATATCAAGAATATTAATTTTATTGAAGTATCTGTTATTAATCTCCAAAACTGTAGTGAAGTCAAGCTGCAGCAATAAAAAATTTTAGTTTTAACACAAATAAAAATACAAGATTCATATTCCACCTGTCATATTTGTGATAGTGACAGGAGCTAGTAGACAGACTAAAAATAGACTTATCTCACAGGCTTGTTCCTATATTACAGAAAAGTAGTATTCAAACTAAAAATAAGTGCCACAAATTTAAAATTTTGCATGATTGAATACTTAGAGGCACTGAGAAGACAATATAATTTTTATTTTGATCCTAAACTTTAAAAATAGATTATTCATTTCTTAACCTTAGGGGTTTTGTGTACAAATTTTGCATGTCACTTCATGTCTCCTTCCTTGATTTCAATTTCAAAAAGACTCAGAAAACTACCACTTATCTGTCTTTTGCAAATAGTGTTGGAATTTGCATCTGTACAGTGATTTTGGATCTTCTAATCAAGAATGCATTGAAAAGAAAGAGAAACATTTTTAATATTTTGCATAAATAGAAACTGAATATGTAAAAACCAGTCATTGTACCACTACACTAACCGGGCAGGGGATCACATACATTACGTGATTATGGTTCTTAAATTTGGGTACAGTTCTGCCCCCGCTGTGACCTCTTGTCTCTTCAATGGTGCAGTCATCTGGACCACTGACCTCCCATGGCCCAGAAAGCACTGACCCCTTTGTGCAGCAAGACAGCTCAGAAAAATTGACCTTAAATAATGCAAGGAAATCCAAATCTTGTAAAAATTTGTTTGCTTTTTTACAATCTATTTAAAGTTAACCAAGATTTTCTAAAGTTTTTATTTTGCTGTTAGCATTGCTACTCGTATGATTTATGTAAAAATCTTGCTGTCACACAAAAATTAAACTTTACTTGTATTAATAAAAAAGGAATAAGTTTCAAAAGAATCTTGGCTCATCAGAGGCCAAATCAAACATTCGTGCTCTGTAGCTGATTGTCACTTTTTTCCCTATGAAAGGAAATGTTTCCCAGTCTCTTTCATTGCTGTTCCATGTGTCCTTACATAGCCTTAGTTACCTTCTTCACTGCTTTTATTTTACATTTAGGGACACCTAGTGGCTCCTGTCTGATTTGCTCGGGAAAGCAGCAATAATTTCGTATTTCCAGATGAACTCCGTGGGTTTCCAGATCTTACTTATCTATTAAACCATAGCATAGTAAACAGTTCACAAAAGAAATTACAAAAACACGGAACTGTATTTCATAGTACACATTAAAAGTTTGAGACAACAACAAAAATTATCCCCTTTTTCATTCTTTTTGAAATTCATACCCAGGGAGTAAACATGTCTGTTTTTTAATACCTTAGAAAATATACCTTAATTATGTGTCCCCAGAAACTTCAATTTTATACATCTTCTGCACTAGATTTATTACTTTGGCCTCTGTATCTTGTCCTAAATATACGTCTCAAATAGATGTCATTTTTCATTGTTCCATGTATGTTTGTATACACATACATTCCTTTGAACTTTTGATTTAATGGAGTGCTTGAACCTAACCAGGCCTCTCGGTGTCAGTAGTATTGTTCTAAATGTGAAAAAAAGGTGGCAAAAAAAAACCCTCTGTACCCGTATTTTTAAGATCATAATCCTCTCTTCAGCCCACTTTAAAATATTTGTCTTAAAAAGAAAAAAAAGCCATGAAACAATAGCAAAAATTTAAAAATCTGAGGTTTCTTTATTTCCTGTATTGGTTAAATAAATACACAGGAAGTGTTTAAGTTAATATTTTTAAAGTATCTATAATATCCCAGCCTTTTCAGCCTATTCTTTAAAAAAACACTTTATACCCTAAAACCACTTTAAATACATACCTACAAGAAATCCAAGTACTTCCCATCTCGTTTCTATAGGAAAAAAAATAGATAATCGCTTTCCCTTGGATTCGCATGTTCCACAAAAGTATTAAACAAGGAACTCCAACAAACAAGTATATATGGTCTTACACAATCAAGAATTCTGGAAAAGGCGTGGTCATGAACCTTATAATGAGAAATTTTAAAATTGGAAAAAGCTGTTACAAAAATTCCCTTACATTTTTCCCCCTTTCCACACTTTTCCTTAGAAAAGCACAAAGAATTAATAATAAATCCATTTTATACATACAATCTTGCAAGGCAAAAGTGTGAAGTGAGGAATTATAGCAAGGAAAAAGCGCACAAGAATATTTACGAGAAGTTCAAAACAAGGAGGTTACGACCTCCAAATGCCGTTAAACTTTAATTCACCAGATTCAAATTTAATTGAACGTTTTGCAGCCCGAGCAGAAAGAAGGAATTGGGGTTTACCGCCTCCCTGTTTGCACTTTGCTCCCTCTCGTGGCTAAAATTGAGAATGATAATCCTTGGTATTTACAATAAATAAGCAAACCCGTACTTATTACTCATATTTTAAAATTAATAACGTTGTGAAACTACCCCTTCGTCGGATCTAGTGTCTACAGTTTTATCATTTTCGGGAAAATCTCAAACAAAAGCTACACTTTGTAAATACAATAAGAAAATTATTAAGATGTTGAATTCTGTATTACCACTGCCTGGCTTTATTTCCACAATCTAACAAGTACAGGCTTATCTCACCTTTTTATCTGACAGCAATTTGTGAAATTACATTTATTCTCATAAAGGTTTGCTGATTTAATCAACAGCATTGTCCACAAGTCTAGCCAATGGTGAACATACCAATAGCTTATCTTTGCAAAACAATACCTCCATTGACATGAAATGTGACATTTTTCATCAATATTTCATCACATTATACATAAGATAATAAACAAATTCTCACTACTTGACAACTATCCTGTAATGCAATGTAAGCTAATGCTGTTTCATATTTCAGTACGTGACAGCTGCCAACCATGTTGTTAATCACTAATTGCTCTTATTCATCTCAGAAACATGCCTTGATTGCTAATTGAGGCCAGATAAATATTTCAGTTTATTGAAATTGCTTTGCTGCCCATTCAGTTAAAGAGGAAAAGTCTTTAAAAGATGATGAAGAAAAGAAAACTAGAGAAATTAATTATTGGGTGAAGACAAAAATAAAAGCCAACACTGAAATTAATATATAATCTGAATGATTAATAAAATAGTGAGCAAACATTATTTTTGTCAGAAGTATCAATGTACCTGTACAACTCCAGATCATAAGAAACAGGCCCAGCTTTTCACGTTTGTATAGGACTTTTTCAAAGCTGTGAAGTGCTTTTCATTATTAGTTGTCCAAGCTTTCCACAATGGAAGTAAATATAATTTTTTGTTAAATTATTAATGGGAAAAGTAAACCATTGATGGGCAAATCTGCTGTACAGTGTTTCCCAAGTAGATGAACACTCAAGTCTCCAGTGCAACATTGCATTTCTGAATCAAGCAGTAGTTCATCAAGCCAAAATAAAGCTTCTTTAACAAAAGAATCTGAAAAATACCTTACAAAACCAAACTTCATTTTATGCATTCTGTTACAAAGAATTATATTTGGATAAAATGAGATGATGTGGTGTGCAGACCAAAAATAAAGAAAAGAACTACAGTTAGAATGCAAGCTTTCTGTACCAGACTATGAATGCAATGCCCAAGGAATACAGCCAGCAACTCATGCCTGTAGCTGTGATTCAGAAAACTGACTTGGGGAAAGAAGTCTGACTTTCTTCAGAAGAAATTTTTCCCATGCCCACTCTGCTCCCTGTCTCCATTTTGTGCATGTATTTGTCTCTCAACTGCCCCTGCCCAGTGCTGATTGACTGGATTTCAATTCAAGATAATTCTGTAAATATCACAAGTTATTCACAAAAGTTGAGTCAAGGTAATTCTTATAGATTGTTTGCATATGCAAACCCAGCAGATATCACAGCAGGTAGGACTTTGATGAGTCTGTTCAGTCTTCCCATAATGCAGGCTCTTCCCAAAACCAGGGAAATACAGAAGAATACCTCATCTTTGCAATTTTATCTTCCTCTGTGAATCTTGCCTTTGCCACAACATTTTTAACTTCATGTGTATGTATAAAGTGCTTACATGAAAAAATATTGAACACTATAAAATAATTAAAGGAAAAAATCTTTAACCTCATCTAATTACTTTTCCTGCTACTGCTATGGCCTATAGGGGATTTCTCAGTGGCATAACAGCACCATTCAGTGACTCTCTTTGCTCAAGGAAATAATGAGATGGCTAAACCAGGGATATTGAGAAAGGGACATGGCAAAGCAGTATTTCACAGTATTCCTATAATTGGTTCACCCTCATACTCAACAAAAGTTGTGACCAATGTCACATTAAAATCTTATCTACCTATAAGTCACACATTTTTTTTACAGAACCAAATTATTATTTTTTAAAGAATAGTGCAGTGTGAACAGTACAATTTTCAGCAAAAGTCTTCTACTGATTGCCTGAAGGCAGCCTACAAAGAAGCTGTGGGGACTTTTGACAAGGGTATGTAGTGCCAGGATAAGGGGGAATGAGGGAAGGTTTAGATTGGACATTAGAAATTCTTTTCTGTGAGGGTGGTGAAACACCAGAAGAGGCTGCCAAGAGAAGCTGTGGATGCCCCAGCCCTGAAAGGATTCAAGGCCCAGTTGAAAGGGGCTCTGAGCAACCTGGTTTAATGGAAGGGATCCTTGCCCATGACAGGGGCTTGGAACTAGATGGGCTTTAGGGTCCCTTCCAACCCCAACCATTCTAGAATTGCATGAAATATATTTCTGTGGTATTAATGTGTACGACTTTTATGGAGTGACTTGTTTTCCCAAGACAACAAATACAATGCTGAAAGACAAAATAGAAATCACACAGTTTTGTGGCCCTGTCTGAGCATAAGATGCAATTAAGGTCTTTGGTGTGACCTTCCCTTTGTGCCAAATTGTGCTAAAATGTATGACAGTTTTTGTTATGGAAGTCTCCATGTATCAATGATTAAGCAGAAACTGTCAAAATAATTTATTTAGGTTCACAGGCAGAATTCACAATTCACATGAAGTGTCATAAAGCAGAAGCAATATCTAGTTTATCTGTTAGGTTACTTAGCCTCATACAATTATTTCACTTTCTTGATAGCATTTTTTGACTACAAAAACTTTACCTGAGGTTACAGCTACTGCTATTGATTTTAAAGGGCTACTGTTCACCTTTTCTGAGAAAAATAGTATTAAGTTTCCCAAAGTAAGCTGACTTGTATCATCTCATTTTGCTTTCAATATGACTGTTACTAAAGTCTCCATAAGCAAGCCCAGAAAAAGAGGTACCTTTATAAATTTTCACCTGACATACCATGTTTCAGTGTTCAGTACTTGGCCTGATGCAGTTTAATCAAATGTTACCCTTTACATTTAAGTTCAATTTTCAGGACTTATAACTTGTCTACATAAAATGATTCATATGGTGATCTAAGAAGTCTCAAAGTTTTTTATTTTATTGTATTAAAAATATTTAAATTGTAAACGCTGGAAGTGCTAGGAAAAAAAGTTGGCAAGCAATATGTTTCAACAAATTACAAACTTTACGTGCTTTTGTCTTTATTTATTGCATTCACTTACCTATAAAACATAGCCTGTTGATACAGGCTGTAATCACATTAGCACATTTGAGAACATTACTATTTAAGTCAAGACAGATCTTGGGGAAATAATCTTGGGATAAATCTGAATTCAATGATACTAAAGTAAAAACATGCATGCTTTAGCTACTACATTCATTATATTAAAATAGGAAAACCATAGGCAATAAAAATACAGTTAAATGTCTTGACATCCTCCCAACTCCCCATGGATTTTAAGCAAATAAATGTAAGAAGACATGATTTTAGAGAACAGAATTATTTTTTTATATAATGAGTTTCATAATGTTGTTTGCAGCCCTAGATGTGACTGTGATTAAGTATTTCTGTAGTTAAGATGAACTCACCTGTGCACTGCGGAGCCCATTCAGCTCCACTTCTCATAAGAATCTGCAGCAGACCTAAACTTCTCTGGGACTGACCTTCTAACAAACGAGACTGAACGCACATCACGTTCCACGTTCTCAGGGTAATCATTCAGTGCAGTTTATTAATTATTTTCAAACAGAAACACCTGAGCTTAAAAGACGCATCCTCGCCGATGCACAGCCCTCATGGCGCAGGTGCGCCCGCAGCCGCCGGGTGACGGCCCTGGGACTGCCACAGCTGCTGCTGGTCCCACACCTTCGGGAAACCACGGCCCACCCGCGAAAATGTTCTTTTCACTGTGCTTAAGGCAGGGCGAGCAGACGAGAAGCTTCCCGTGCTTTATTGCCCCGTGGGGCAGCTTAGAGGGGCGGGCTGGGCCCCGCTGCCCGTCCCGCCGTAGGAGGGGTGCGGGCCCGTAAGAAGAGCGCTGGGGCTGCAGCCTGGCTTTTCCCTACCTACTTTTCCTTTTTCTCCAGCCCATGTTTCCCCCTGCCCGTTTCTCCCGGAGCAGCGGCGGTAGCGCCTTCGCTCGCCGGGAGCTCGCCGGGCTGAGGGCGGCGGTGCCGCTGGGCAGCTCCAGCCGGATCCGGCCCGCGCCGCCCGTGCCCGGTGTTGCCGCTGCCGAGCGGGATAAAACCTGTCCCGGCTGCCTCCCCGGCCCTCAGAGCCCTCGCTGCCCCGTGCGCGGAGCCTGGGAGCCGCTGCAGGTAAGGGCAGCTCCCGGCGCTCCCCTCATCGCCCCGCTCCGTCCCCGGGGCTGCCGCCCTCAGTCCCGCAGCCGGCTGGCCATGCCCGGGGCGACCGTAAGGCTCCGCTTCCTTAGGTCAGGTTTGGCAATAGTGGGTTCCCCAGAGCTGTTTTGGTGGGTGAGAAGTCCTTTTATCCGGTGCAATGTTTATTCTTTTTTGCTTTGGTGAATTTCATGCGTTTCTGCGAAGTTTTGTTGGTCTGCTGCACGTGTAGCATCAGCTTTGTCACTTTCAGCTCTGGTATGTGATGTTAGATGTCTATTACTTCTGTTTTCAGGGTAGTTTAGTGAATTACATGGAATCCCTCAATTGTCTCGGCATGTATCTGTTCACTGGATTTACTGGAGAAAACTAGTAGTGTGGGAACACAGTGCAAAATATTAGCTCCTTGAAGTGTGAAAATGGTTTTGTGCTGTGTTGATGATTCGTTATTGAGTGTTCCTTATTGGGTAGATGCAAAGCATTAGCATACCAAATTTTTTCTTTCTTTTTTTTTTTTTTTTTTTTTTTTTTTTTTTTTTTTTTTTTTTTCAACAGTCCCGTTTTCTCTTGCAAGTAGCTCTGGTTAAAGGGTGGGAATTTTCTGTGGTTTTTTTTTTCTCGATTAATTAGGATGGCTCACTTAGAGACTTGGGCCATATCTGTCATGATTGCTTTCCTAGCTGGTGCTAGAAAAAGTAGTATTTGTCCTAATATATCATGAAATTTTCATGTCAGTGCTGTGCCTGGTACAGAACTATGATCGTTTTGGGGTTAATCATTGCAAAAATGGCTGTTGTGGTGAGGTAGGTCTGCTCAAAAGGTATGTGTCAGTAGGATCGATTATATGACAATAACAGGTTTTTCTCATTAAAGACTTTTCAGTGCTAGAATTCAAAGTTCACTGTAAAGCAAACTGCAATCCATGCATTGCAATGGAATGAATAAGTTTTGGACTTCAATCCTGCTTCATAATAAGCAGTGTCTTTTTACTGAGGCAGGTTAGACTGTGCATATAACAAGTCATTCAGAGCTGTTTACACTAAACAGCTGCATGCCCTGTAGCAGAGAACACTGCAGAGAAGTCTCTTTGTTAATTGAGAGTGCCCAAAGAATAAAACTGGAAAAAAAAGTAGCTTGTCAGAGTTTAGAAATCCTTGCTGTGATGCAATTGCTTGCACCACTGATTAATGATTATTACATGACAATCAAAAAAACAAGGGCTAGTGAGCTGTTCTGGTTGTTTTATTTTCACCATCTGATTCCAATTTTGTTTGTTATTTAAACATCCCAGAGTACAGTGTAGCTGAACCAAAAATATCACCTTTGTATGATCAACAGGGTTTTTTGTCTTAAATGAATTCAAGGTCACTTAAGGAAGACAAAATTATTGACTTAAAACTTTGATTCATATTCTCTGCCTGTCAGTTTGAGATCCTTGTAAATTTTGGTTTTAGCTGTCATGTGTCTTGACTTTATCAGATGTTTTTTGTGTTAAAAACAGCGTAAATAAAGATGACTTTTGTAATTATGGATAGTTCATTACAGAATTTGTGATATTTTATTAAAGTGCAAGTCAATCAAAGCTCTTGTTTACAAGTGAACTTGCTTACATCTGTGGAATATTTTGACACACACTTGAAGTATATTGCTCTCTACACTTTCCAAGTTCTGAAGGCCATAAACTTGGAGATGACATTACCTTAGTAATGTCCTTTGATTCATATGGGACTATGTTGGGATCATTGACTCTTTAAAGGGCACGAATGTGTTTCTGCTCAAAAAACAATTTATAATTAAGAAAATCTAAGGAGCTGTTCCTTTACTAGCATAAGGATGGAGCACTGTCTTGCAGGGAAAACTGTTATTTTCACTAAACCCAGGCATGACTGAATGTGTATAAAAGCGAGGGTAAAATCTTTGAGTAAGATGCAATTTCATAGAAATCAAAGCTTACATTCTGCAGAGACTGATGGCCCTTTCTGTCACATGTGCTTTCCTGTAAGAATTGATGTGTGATTGTCCTGAAACCTGATGGAAAGTCTGCTGCTGCAAAGCATTTCACCATTTGGATGTAACTCCACGGGAGATGACTTAAGGTGATCCTTTTTCTATGCCCGATGCTTCAGAAGTGACAAATAACTTCACATGTGTGCAGCTCTGCATAGTGCCTAAGCAAGGTTTCATTTCCCAGCCATATCCATTCTTGTAGTTAATAAGACATTCAGACACCACATTTTAGATAGTAAAAGTAAATGTTTGTTTTTTCTAAGAGAAGATGTCTTTTATGGCTACACACACACTTGCATAATATGTATTTTTTTATTACCTTAGTTTATGTCCTTGATAAATGGGATTTAAAACCAAGTTTGCTATCTTACGTGCATGAATTGTTGTCTAATGTGTTTAAACAGCTATTATGTTGCTGAACTCTTTAATGACCATTGAAGAAAGTGGAAATTTATATTTTTGGACACAATTTTGATTTATCTACTTAGCAAAAAAGCATGTTGTGATATTTTTCTGGGAAGCTTAATATAATTTACCAGTTTTGAGGTAAAAAAAGAACTTCAAGGAAGTGAAGATTGTTTTACTCTATCTTATTGCCGTGTGAAAAGCACAAATGTTGAGTTACTATGTTTTCACTGCCCCATTTTCCAGCTTAGGTGCAACATAAACTATCTTAATTAATATTGTGTCACCAAAAGGTTTTGAGACGGCCAATTGAATTCTGCCAAGATAGAGTCTTTTGATGAAAACATATCTTTATTGATTGTAGAAGAAGAAAATCATTCTTAAAATGAAATCCAGAGAAAAAAAATCATATCCCTCAGAGAAAATTTCTGAGTGGCAGGTTGAGATTAACATCATAAAATTGAATTTGTGCTGCAAACCTTTGATGTAATCAGCAGCTGGGAGATGGTATTGCCCTTACTGTGCTCCTTCTGATTGTGGTGAATTATTGTGTGGAATGAAATAAGTGTTTCTTGTGTCACTCGTTCAAGAAATACAAACAAGGTATTACCAGGTGCTTCTTGCTAGTTAAAATGGGTTGTATCGATTGCAGGTCCCAGTGCCCTGCTCCCCTGGACTGCAGGAGCAGGGCGTCCCCATCCCCGGGGAGGTGTGGGTGTCACTCAGCAGCGACTCCAGCCCTTTAGGGTGTGGCCCAACAGCTCTTGAGGAAAGTCCCATCACATCTCTTGCCAGAGAGGGTGTGCGACATCCTTAAGGAGAGTGCAACATTCACATCATGAGACAAAGTTGTGGAAGCAGGATAGAATGGACCAATAGACTGCAAAGCTACTTTTAAGAAAAATGATTAGCTTTTTACTAAGAGTAAAACTAATATTGATAGAACTTTGTTTTCTTGGGTAGGAACGAAGAGGATGTGTCAGATAAAACTAAAGGACAGGATCAGGAGAACGAGATAGATTAGAACTGGTTGTGAAAAAACTTAGGCTCTGCCTAAATTTTACTTCCCAAGGTTTCCTTTATTCATCCTTTACAAGGATGAATATAATGGGGTGTGCTTGGGGGGGAACTTTTTGAATCCAATGCAAACAGCTAAATTCTGCTAATATCTTAATATTTTCAGGACTTTGAGCAAATTTCTGCACTGGTTTGTTTTGTGCCCGCATAGATTGCCAGACATTTAAGTGGACTTGTAAGAAAGTGCCCATCTATTGACAGCTTGGAATGTGTAGGAAATGTGAAAGAAGCATGGCTATAAAATTAAAAAAATGTTGCTTTGGGAGCTTAACTGTTACCTGTAAAATGATATTTTGTTGTAAGAAGTCTTTCTCCTTCTATAAATAAACTATAAATTTGCATTTGGTACGTTTTTTATGGGTTATAGTGATGAGAAAGAAGTTTGTCATGACCCGCATTTTATAAAGTGACCTGTTTGAGATTAGATCCCTGGGGGGAATTTTAGCTCCTCATTTTAAGGACTTTGGTGCATATATATGTTTATCAGAAGTGTTATTTCTGAATTCATTGAAAGATCAGGGTATGTATTTTCTTTATCAAGAAATACCATTCTTACAACTGTAGCAAATAATTTAGCATCTTGAGGATGTGTCATATAGTAATGCTTCCTTTAGGCTTGTGAGCAAGCACTGGAAATGCAAGGACCAATAGGGGGTGTGTCCTGCAGTCTTCAGTGGGGCTAAACAGAACCCAGATTTCTCACTTCAGATCACTGTGAGTGAATGGGTGTGCACACTCCTGGGAGACCTCAGCCACTCTGTCCCTCTAACCCTTTATGTTCCCAGGCCATTGGCTTTGAGATTATAATTTTTATTTTGAGAAAAAGCAGCTCAGGAAAGGGATGTGTGCCTGAGGTTAAGCAGTAATTATGTAGCAGTGATTGGAAGATTGAGATGAGCTCAATAGAGAAGCTAACAATTGTTTCATTTTGTTTTAAGGTCAGCAGAGGAGTCAAAGTCAAGATACTCAGTATATATGGGAAAGGTGTATGTCACGTTATGATGGCGCTGATTCTTTGTGGTGTAATCTGACCTTTTTCATTCTCGTCAGTTCATGACCAGTCCTAGCCAAAAAAGCTGAGTGATGAGGAAAAGACCTTGCATAAATATCTGCTTAGTAAAGAATTCAAGGTCAGACCTTTGGCTTTTTTTTCTTAAAGCTTTTCATTAGACTTTGAAATATCTCATGGCTCCTGTAGAATAAGAGGTGGTTTACTCAGCTTTCCAAGTTAAGCTTTAATACCACACAAATGGTCCAAAGTTACTAAAGTAGAACAACCGAAGTCCTTGAAGCTGTGAAAATTTGGACATTTTTCCAAGTAAGCAGTGGTTTGTGGTGTTGTTTCAGTGTGAAAAGAAACTAGAGCTGGCACAAGTTAGTGGTGAGATGGGCTGGTACTGTTTTAATTAAAACAAGAGCTTTCAGTAATGAGAGCACTCTTTGGCAGTTTGGTTATCAGGGTAGCACAAATAAGCTCATTAGGCTGTAAGCAGGGAGATAGGGGCAGTAAGACTGAGAAACGTGATTCCAAGTTGAATTATGGGTTAATACTGCAAATCAGACATGCTTCAGTGGGCAGAGCTGGAGGAATTTGACATGTGCTGATAAGCTACATGTAGCTCTGCTATGCCTTGGGCAATATTTGACTTTGTGAAAACCGCTTTTACCTTTTTAAAAGGAACAGTCTGGTAAATATCTGTTCACTTCAAAAAAGTTTGCTTTAGGTACCATTGGTATCACTAAAAAATTTAGTAAAGCTAAGTATTGCCAGACCAAATGTGTCCATGTGGCTATGCAGTATTTCTAGTGAAGTCATGCTACACTAAGAAACAAAAGTATCATTCAAACTGCTTGTGCATCAAAATATCTTAATCTAAGAAAACCAAGAAGCAAGTGGAAAAAAAAGGACTGTGTTAATAAAACAATTAATACACCTTCTGTTTTCCTTCTCTTGGGCTTCAGTTGTAGTGTAAAGGAAAACATACAAAATATTATTGTAAAATTTCAGTCTAAATTAATTCTCTTACAACCAGTGTTTTGTCAATAGCAATAGTTTTTTATTCATGTTATTCATGAATAACTAAATGGTCTGCAGATAGATCATCTCCACATTAGCAAATTCCATAAATTTGTTTTCCTTTTTACATCTGTTGATTTGAGTTCTGTTACTTATCACTTATGCAGCAGTAGGTTTTGGCTAAGAATATTGAGCTTGAATCTATGCATCCCTTATAAGAAAGTATAATTTATGACTTAATATTCAGTATTCAATGCAGTACTGGATTGTGCTTCCTTGTGGTGTTTGACACTAACTGAACACTCTCATGGTACAAATATAAACAACTGCATGATATGCAAGCAAATGCATTTTAAATGTGCAGGATTTGGCTTATCAAACTCTTTTGGCAGCCATCCCTTTATAAGCCCTATGAAAATGGTAACTTTTTTTAGCTTACCTGATAACTAAAACCTTGTCTTAAAGATTGTCTGGAACAGCTTTTATTTCAGGGCATAAATTCCAAGAGGACAGGATTTCAGTGTTCATCAGTAACTTCATATGACTGGAGACTAAAAAAAGTTTTAGAAAAGTCAGATTCTAATGCTGGGAACAGTAACACGTCTCAGAATTTTTATGTATCCACAAAGAGCTTTTAGATGAAATGAAGTGGGATTTAGCCTAATGAACTCATGACCCCAATTTTTTCTTAGATTCTTCTTCCTCTGTCCTCAGCGTTCTGTCAAGGTTGTATGGCAGGACCTCTATAGTCTGCCATACCAGTCTTTTTAGCCTTTTTTTCTCAGTAGCTGAGCCCTGTATCTCATTTTCTTGTCAGGAAGCAAAACCATTCCTTTAGTTCTCTGTCACTTTAGGCTTTTAGTAGTAGACATGAAGATACCTTTGGCCACATCCCTGCTTTCAGCTGCTGTTGTGCTGGGTTGCAGTTTCTTTAAGCATAACTTAAAAGGCTGCTTCTGTGCTCCATTTCTGTCCTGTGGTCTTTCCTGAATTCTCACAGGAACTGCTCTTCATGTCACTTATCATCCCTGTGTTCCTTCCTTTTGACTCACTGTTGCTGGCTGTTAGGCATTTTGTTCTGCCCACTTCCTGTCTCTCCTAACAAAAGCTCAGCTTTACTGTCATGTTTTTTGCCCCAGTTCTCCCAGTTGCACTACTGTATCATCTTGTTTCATTTTGAGCATCTTTCCTAAGGATGTGCAAAGGGCTCTGGTGTCTCTTCTTTCTTCAGGATAAATTGGAGCACACCTCTGAAAGGTGTATTTTGCTTAGTGGCTGCAGAGTGGTTGTTCTGAAGGATGTCTCCAATTGTATTATTGCTGTCTGGATTAAAAGAAAGGTGGCATACAATACTTTTAAAAAGATAAATTAGTTTTTTTTAAAGTGGCCTTATACAATGGTGAATCTGAAACAGCTTAAAATCTGTTTCTTCTTGTTCACTGTCACTTGAGAATAACATGTTGACATACAAACATTTTTGACATTGTTCAGTCTGTCAGCTGTTGTCAATGTCTGCCTATTGCCTGGCTGGTGGGAGTCAAAACTGCCCTCAGCCAGATGGACAACTACATTAAATCAATTTTTTGCAGTAGGCAAAATCTATTAATGATAATGTTTTTTGGACAAGGGACTCATGTCTTGAGCAATGGAGAGAGTCTGTTCATTCTCTGCTTCTCAGCTTGCAACTCTGCTGCCACTTTATTTTGGTTCTTGTCTCTAGGAGATGCCACAGAATGGTTGGGTGTATAGTGCTTTGCTATCATGGGCCTCATTTTTCTCTTCCTCCCTGACCCACCACCAGTTCTCTCTTTTGGCCATATTATTTTTCTCTTGCCTTACCCTCCTAGAAATCAGAGTCTTTATTGACACCCTGCTCCTGTCTTATCTCTGCTCCAGTAGTTGGCTGTTGCTGCCAATGAGCAGCACTGCTGGCTGAAGGGAACAGGGAAGCATTGTGTATTCCACCAGCCATATTTAGGGAGAACAATGTGAGCCCATCAGAGCTAAGCCAGGCTGTGTGGGGCACCACACACCTCTCGTTGCTGATATTTCAGTATTCTGATAGTACTGGTCCCTGAAATTCAGTGTCATGTTGACAATAACAAGAAAATCTTTCAATGCCACATCAGCTTCTTACAGCAATATTTTATAGCTTCCCTTTCCAGATGGTCATTAAATTCTCCCCTTTTTAAGGTTACTTTTTTCTTATATTTAATTATACTTAATCATCATGATTATTTGTTTTCAGGTGTTGACCATGAAGACATTGGTACCAGCTGTGGCCGTGTGGGGGAGAACAGCTCCTTCTCACAGCATCACTGCTGTTATGATCACAGATGACCAGCAGACCATAGTTACAGGAAGTCAAGAAGGGCAGATTTGTCTCTGGGATCTTTCATCAGACTTAGAGGTTTGTGTCCACTGTGCCAAAGTTTGCCAAATAGACAGACTGGAGTTTTACCTTTTATTATTGGCAATAGGATTATCCGTATTTGCACTTATTCAGACGGATTTTTAAAGATGGTGTTAGATAAACATTTGTTATAAGAAACTCACAAAGCAGAAAGTGAAGAGTCTATATGAGCAACCTGTTATTTGCAGACTTTGGAGAATTTTTCATAGATTAGCATGACCTGTGGTTTATAAATTGAGACTGTGTGCTCTGAGAAATGACAGCAAGTAAGTATATACAATTATCATGATTCCTGTCTTGTGAAGCTATTTTTTTTGTATATCAATTGCTGAGGGTGACCTGTCATTTTAAAAAAAAAAGCATTGACTTATAAAACCATATCTGTCTACCAAGGTGGAAGCAGCAAGATGAAACTTCTATTTTTAATGTAATTGAGATGCAAATTATTGCTTTGATTATTTAGTATTTATTTTCCTGACAATGGAGCAGAATGAAAGCAGTTCCTGGGTTTTTTTGGGTTTTTTTGTTTGTTTTCTGTGTTCCTAGAACTACAGTTCCATTATTTTTAATTTTTTTTACATTTACTTGTCTCCTTTGTATTCAAACACAGCCTGAAAGTTTGCACTTTTATAAGGGTAGCTTTTCCAGTTAAACGTTTGCATGCAGTGATGCTAATCAGAGAGGTTATTGAAACGTTTGGTATGAAACACGTTTAAGAGCTTTGTTTTATCAGTGTCTACTTCACTGTGCCACTTTTGGTGCATGCTGTAGGGTAAAGGCTGGAGATGTTCTGCACATTGCCTGTTTTTTAACATATGATGTTCCATACGTTGTTCAGAAGCTGAATGCAATGAATACAAAAACTCAGCTTTATGCAATCTCCAAAAAATTAATCCACATATTTCTGCATTTCAGAAATGTGAATGAAGAACATAAAAATATAAAGCAGATTGACAATTATATATATCTACAAGTAATATTCTCTTGGTTTTAGATATCCTTAGTTTATACAGAAACTGTTTAAAATAAATCATTACATTATTCTCCTAGATTTCCTCTAAAGAAATTCTCTTTGGCCATACTGCTTCTGTAACTTGTTTGGCAAAAGCAAGAGAGTTTGAGAAACAGCCATATGTAGTAAGTGCTGCTGAAAATGGGTAGGTAACTGAATATTCAATTTTTCATTTCTTAACTCATGAAATGTGTGTCAAGTGTAGGTCATATTATATGCATTTACAGAAGTGTTTCAATCTGCTTCCATGATATTGAAATGATAGCAGCTACTTAGGATAGTGACTACAATGTTAATATACGATAATCCAACTAAGAGCTCGTCCCATGGACCACAGAAAGCTTTGGCAGATTCACATATCCACTTAGTAGACAGAAAAAATGAGTTGTTCAAAGGGGTTGGGTAGACCCTATTCAAAGGAAAATTAATGGGTTATTGGAGGGCATCAGCAAGTTCAACAGCATTTGAATATCTTTTCTTCCTGAACTCAGTCTTGAGAACTGGACCAGCAAAAGAGGCTAATATATTCTGATCTGGTTTCTGGTTCCTCAATCGGTATGTATGGAAACACAGAATGGCCATGAGTTAAAGGCATATGTGCTCCTTTTCTGTCTTTAAATCTGGTGTGCTGTTTTGGAGAATATCCTTTCAGAGGGCCCTGATCTTGCAGCTTTTCTGCTGTGTGTTTGTTATGACACAGCCTGTCACTTGAGTTACTTCCTGCATTTCTGCTAGGTTACACTTAAGATTTGATAACCTTTTCAGCTGGGGTCTGAAGACCTTCTGTTTAGGGTTTCATCTGTTGAAAATAGTTAGGGCTAGCTGCTTACTTTCTTAAGGACTTTATTAAGCAATTTTGTGTAGCTGCTTAATTATAGTCCCCTCTATTTTTTTGAGTTCATCTTTTCTAAATTAACAGGACAGCTCTGTTAAAATGGCTTTCCATGAAGAGTACTTGTCAATTGTCCTTCAAGCTGTACCTTCCAGCACCTTAAGGCTACTGGTTTCTCACTGAGTAGCTTGTTTATCCCTTCCAGCAGCTGGGATCCCTGTCTGATTCTCTCATTCAGTCATGAGTATACAAGAAAGGGATAGCCTGCAAAAAACTATTCCAGGCTTCTTAATCTTGAACGATTAGGCTGCCTCACTGGACAGGTAGTGGTAAACACTACTGTTAATGTGCAGAGAGGGTGAGAAATCTACACAACCAGTTTTGTATTGCCCTTCTAGAGTTCTACTCCAGGGCTCTGGGAAGAAGCTGCTTTTCATCTCAGCTCTGAAGATCTATTAATGCAACACTGCTTCCAGATCATATAGAGAGCAAAGATACTGTATGTTCAAAAAACCGGGTGGAAAGTGTTAGGAAACAAACGAGGATATTGCTTTAGATATACCATACAGAGATGTTCACATCCTAAAGATTTTATCTCTGAAGGGATCATTAGACTTGTTTGGAATGTGTGTAGGTAGGATTGAATTGTCTTCTGACCCATTTAAGTGTTCACTTTTACCAAATTACTGCTGACTTCTCATCTGTATTACATAAGGGCAAAGCATCCATCACGGATCCCTGTAAGGTTGCAACATGAAGTCGAGATAATTACAAATAGGAAGCCTTGTCTTCAGGAGATGGAGGGTTTGCCAAACTGCATTTTCTGGCTTGTGAATAATTCACTTCTGCCATTTTCAAGCTTTCCTCTCCTTATAGTGTGGATGGAAGAAATTGTATGGAAGATGATTCTATGATAATCTTTCTTGTTCCACTCCAGATTATTTTCAGAGTTTCTATAACTGACTAATCCCAAAAGAATGAACAATGGACAGTATTTTTTGTACTTCTAATATGGAAGTATATAAATGAATCCAATGATTCTTAAATTCTCACTGATGTCCTATAAAGGACAAACCTGTGCTAGAGCATATGCTGTATGGAATGTGTGATATTGCTCACTCCTTATTAGTACACACAGTAAACTGAATACATCACCTAGAAGCTGAAGTTACATTCTGAAATTCTGGTCTGATTTATGCATGTTTGTAGGTATGTATGTATCACAGCAATGTAGCTAAAGCAGTAGAATTCTGATATAAACGAGGAGAAAATCATTGCTCTGAAATGTTTAACAAAGAGTGTCAAGCTTTCACTTAAGTTCTGACTTTGGATCTACCAACTTTGATGCTGCTATTGCTCAGCTGAAAAATATTAAGAAATAATACTTTGAGTTTAGTGTAAAATGGGAAAATAAGTAGGTTAAAATGTAAATCACTAAGTAGTATCTCTTATGTAATAGAATACTCTCCCCAGTGTATTAAGTCTTGATTCAAGAAAATTTCTTGCAATGTAATGTCAGAAATAATGAAATGAATGTTTCAGTTTTTGGAGTAATGTTTTTCTAATATAAATCTAAAAGCATCAAAGTTTAACATTCTGTTGTTGAACTATGATAATGTGTCATACAGCCTTTTAAAATTTACAACATTTAATTTGATTGTCTCTTGTAATCCAGTCCTGCTGCATGTTGAATAATGTGTACATAAGGAAGATGTGCCCAAGTGTCTCTCTCAAACAACCTTAAATGTGCTCAGGTAGTGTTGCACAGGTACTCAGGTAGTGGAGTGTATTGAGAGCAGACTTCGGGAACAGCCTCATGATGGCACTGTTTCTTCTTAACAAAAGTCCTTCCTCTCAAGAATTGAAGTCTGTTGTGGGAGAAGATGCATAATGCTCTTCAAAACGTGTGGTTTAAGTTCAGTGAAATGAATAATTTTCAGGAGGATGTAGTTCCAGTGACAGTTCCAGTGACATGTTGATGAGCTGTAATGGCAGTATACCTACAATTTGTTGTAGACCAGAGCTGGTCTTAAAGTCAGGTTGGTTGCAAGGCAGCAGGGTGTAATTACCAAACCAAAAAGAAACAGATACTATATGTCATCCCCTGCTAATGACTACATTTTCTTACCCAGCAATCTGTAACAAAAAGCTTTATAAATGACCAGACTGCACTTAAATACAGCACTAAAGAAAAAACTTGGTGGCACAAAATTATTCAAGCCAATTGAGTGGAAATGACAGAGAATAATATGAAGTTATCTTTGGCAGGGAGATGTGTGTTTGGAATGTCACTAGTGGACAGTGCATTGAGAATGCAAAGCTTCCTTATAGGCATACAGCAATCCATGTAAGTATAGCAACTTTCCACGGGGTCTCTGTTCATGACAAGAATTTTCTTTGTTGACACGGTATTTTTCAGAAATGGTTTAAAATATATAGCTTGTAACCTAGGAGAAAAGACCCTGTCACAATATAAATAATTTTTATCTCTTTTTCAGTTTTTTCTTCTAAGAAAAGAATAGAGACTTTCATGTTCCTCTGAATTTCTTAATCAAATCAGGCTGATTACTTTTAAGCTGCAAATATTTGAAATGCAGTATTGATTAACTTCCTGTTTGTGCATCAGGTAGCCAAGTGAAATGATCTTAATCTTTGTTCTTGTCTTGTTAAAATTGCATGGAAGCTTCAAGTTTGATGTTGGCTTTTTCATGACATTTGAAAAGTACAAGTAATCTGACCAAACACTGGGAGACAATCTGTTGAGAGACTTATTTTTAAACTTTTGCATGTTTTTGTTTCTGAACCCCTGACCTCCAGATGTGGTGAAGCCTCCAAAAGACTTCACCCCTTTTTCAAATACGCACTTCCATTCATTGCAGAACTTTAGGACAAATCACTTATTTTCAGAGACTTTCAGTATTGCTTCAGATAATTTCATGTGTCTGGCTGAAACTGTATCCAGGTAAAATAATTATCTAGATTTTGGAGTGTGGGAGAGTTTGAAATACACTTATGAGTAAGACTGGGGGCCCAGCATCTATGGGTTTGATTCTGGAACATGGTTTATTTCTGGATATGTTAATAGAGGAGAAGCTCAGGGATCCTGTGTTAATTAAAAAGCTGTAAGGAAATCTAGGGTGCAACTAAGACTCCAAATGATGGATATTTGAGCCTTCATGTAACTCCGAAGCACAGCCAATTTGGAATCCAATGTTTTTAAAGTGTCCAGAAGAAAATGTTTTTCCTCATGCCGCTTTGGTTGATATGAGGAGTTCAAACATAGTTGTTAATTGTAAAGGGTAGAGGAAAAAACTTGGATATATTGCCAACAAAAATTATGAAATATTAACTTCTTAATTATTTTTTTACATATATGTATGTGCATATGCTTAAAGTGTATGTGTTCCTTAAATGGAGGTATATACACAAAAAAAAATACTTGAATTATAACTTGAGGTGCAGTATGACCTGCTAAGATCTAGAGCTTAATTAGTTTTTAATAGATGAAATTACAGACAAGTTCTGCAGGGAAGAAGGCAAATCTGGCCTAGCTGATTAGCTGACAATCTGGACTTTTTTTTGGTGAAGATCAGAGGCAGAATATTCATTCTTACCCTTCAAATAGGTTTAGCAAATACTCGTAGAAAAGAGGTCCTTCCTTTCTGTTAGAAGTGAGCTAGACCTAATTGTAACAAGTCACCTAATTTGTTATTAAACAAAAATAATTATTTTATTATAAAGGAAAATAGGAACATCTAACAGGAAAACTTTCTTAGGAAAAAGTAGGTGTTGCTAGGAGGGGAAACTATTCCTAAAATGCAGCCTTCAGATAGCTATAATAAATTGTGTTCTTCTGTATGTGTATGTTTTGTTGTAGATTTTTTTCTTGTTGTTCCATGGGGAATGGTTGCTTGTGCTGTTTGGTTTTAATTGAACTACTAACCTATCTGCTCTAGTATATTCCTTTTGTTCAGTGTAGATGATTTAGCTATGAATGGCAGATGTCAAGCAGTGAAAACTGAATATTTGCCATTTGAAATGAAATTTAACACCAGGGTCAACACTTAAACATTTGTGGATCTTAACCAGTGTGGAATTTTCTCAGAGGAATTACTGACTATAAAAATCCTTTATTTCAAGCTTAATTTAATGGCAACCATAATTGTAAATTCTAAGCATTTCTGCCTCTGTTTATTCATAAAATTTCGAATACTATTTATCCTACTTCCAGTTTATTTATACTACTTTTATTTTGGCATTTAGTTAGTTGACTGAAAAAACAAGAATTATTATATAAGAAAAACAGTACAGAAAATCTGTAAATGAGATGCAGTTTTTTTGGGTTGTCTGATATTTTTGTCTGACTATTGTTCCCTTTATTTTAAGGTCAGTATTTAATGTAAATGTGCTTTGAGGTTGCTGCTTATGCATTTATAGAAATTGTTTACAATTACAGCTAGAGATGCAATTAGGGTGTCCTTGCACATATAAAACACCTAGCAAAAAGCAATCCTCTTAGTCACTCTGCATTCTGTCTCTGTTCCTTTGCTTTGTGTCTGATTTTTTTTATTTTTTTTTCTTCCTTTTTGTGATTGCTGAGAGAGTCTGAGCACCAGGGCATTTAACATCACAATGTAGAACATCCTATGGAGTATAGATCCTTCCTGGAAAGTAATCATAAATTCATTATGAATAATCTGATTAGGAATATTCTGCATCTTCACCTGCTTTTTCCTTTTCATACAACTCTGGATGACAGGAGCATTATTAAATGTTTGGAGAGGGGCCTCTCAGAGAAACAAGTCTCAAATTCCTTAGCAACATATAGGGGAAATGAAGATCTGACTTTCTTCTTATAATTACAAAAATCTTAGTATTTAGGAACGACAGGTGCTGCTTTCAGTCTGAAGCACCTTTTACTAAGCTGTGTACCTTGCTAATGTCACTAGCAATATGGTGTATGGTTTCACATATGCCTTAGATTTTTTTATTTTTTTTTTTTATTTTTAGTGGTGCTACAAGTGTTGATTTTAACATGTTCAGTGTGAAAAATCTGCATGCCATTTGTGTATCTGTGTGCTGACTCTCTGCTTTCCACTTGGACAGTATTACCATTGCTCATTCCGAATGACAGGTGAAGGCTGGCTTCTTTGTTGTGGAGAATATCAAGATGTTCTTATTATTGATGCTAAAACTTTGGGTGTTCTTCACACTTTATCATCATCTCAGTCTTCTGATTGGATAAATTGTATGTGTATTGTACACTCTGCAAGAATTCAAGGTATATGTTTTACATGTATTTATGTGGGCAAGTTAAATTGTGATAAAATATTTCTGTATAGATGGTATGATCCTACTTGATTTAATGCCAAATAGTTTCACAGAGCTGTTTGTAGAAAATGTTGATATTTCATTGACAGCACAAGAGGTGTTTTTAAGGCTCCTAATATTGGTCCTGTTTTATTTAATATCTTTTTTAGAAAAAAAAAAAAACCACCTTTTATATTGGCTGTAAGCAGCTCATTTCTCAAATTGAAGTATAAATAAGTTTTTTAATATCACAATTTAAGGGCATGATACCACAGTTCTGTGCCTTCTGTTAATACATTATTCCCTGTCTGCTTACATGTTTTGCATTTTTGTACATAATTTACTTATTTTTTTGTATAAAATTGATCTTTCATCTAAGAAGTGTCCTGCAGAATCTATGTTTTAGTGCTGAGTATGTAGGTGCTGTTTGAACTTGGCTTCAAGTTGATTCTCCCTGTTAACTTTTCACAGAAGACTCTTTGGTTGCAGTGTCTGTAAGTGGAGTTCTCAAAGTGTGGGATCTGTCTTCATCTTTGAATAGCATTCAGGTCAGTGTTAACAAGAATGTTCTCAAATAAAGGCTGCATTGAAGCAGAATATGAACAAATGTAAATTTCTGGATATGTATTAAATGGATATTATTATTTTTGTTACAAAATTATGAAAACAGATCTTTATAGCATTTATTAAAATTGGGCCATTGGACAGCTTTTGCCTTGACAGCTGTATTACCTTCTGGCCAGGCTTCTTGTCTTTTCATATTCCAGGATGCTGAAGTTGCAATGCTTTCCTGCTATCCTGATAATGTCCTTGAACTCCTTCACTCTGTCCTTTAAACTCAAAGCTTTTCAATATTGGCCTTTGTCCTCTCTCTTCACCCTTGTTACTCTTCAAAATGGTCCTTTAGATTTTGTTTTCCTCAGTCTCCTTTTCACAATGCTGTCTTCACTTGGAAAAGACTATTGCTGTGTCAAGTGTCTTATTTTTCTGTCTTCAATCTCGCTTACTCTTTTTTGTGTTAATATTCTCAGCAGCTGTCACCTTCCATGAACAAATATTAGAATTGGGATGCGATTTTTGTGTTTTAATTATACTATAAAAGCTAGATTGACAAAGGGACTTGGACAGTGAGACAGAAATGCCAGAATATCAACAGACTTCTCTGAACGTTGGTAACTCATCACTGCCTGGCTTGAGAGACTGCAGGGTATGGGCAGCACTGCTTGTTCGTGGATAGAATCCTGCCCCTGAGAGTCTAAGTTTGGTACCATCTTATTGTCTTTGATTTATCTGTGGTGTTTTGGGGTGGGTGCATCTTTTCAACATTCCTAGAGCAGACCCCACTGCTGTGTTGTAAAGATTGAGGACTCTAACAACTGATTACAGATGTCAGAGGAACATATGGTGTGGTGCAGTCTTTTTACTGCCTGGGGCCACCTTTTGTGGAGGGACTGCTGCAGAGTTTGTAACAATCTGGCTAAATTCTAAAGAGCAGCATTTTAATAAATGTTGTTGCATTTACTTGGAATTAACTGAAGCTGCAAGCCTTTCAGTTTTATAGCCATGATTCCAAGCATACATACCTCTTCTCTGAGAGGTTTTGAGACTGTTGGTATCTTAAAACACAGAAAACATCAGTTTTAAGTGATTTAATCAATAATTAATAAATATAATTCCAATAGATTAATTTTGAGCCTGATGACTGTCTGATATTCCCACAAAAAGTGTGAAAATATATGCATTGTTTTTAACAGTATATTTAGCACTACAAAGCTAAGGAAATTAATTATTTTTATACTACCTTTAAAGATGTTTAGAGCAAACAAGACATATGGCAACAGCAGCATCTCAGACTGTCCTGCTTGCAACAAGAATGAGTGGGAAAGTATAATATTCATCAGATTTTCTGAATCTGATATTCATTTTATAGGTTGTTGTAGCTGTTTTTTGACTGAAGAATACTTGGCAGATACTCATTACTGCAGTTTCTATTTATGGCCTGCCTTTGGTCCTTCTCCATGTCCATTATCATTTCTTTAAGTGAGATCATGGTCTGAGCCACATAGAATATTTACATTCTTCTCTTTACATATTAGTTGTAAACCCTGTTGTCTTTCTATTGTTAATTAAGAATTATATGTTGTTTTGAATTTTGAAAGTCTCAAAGTTATTTTCAGTGGGTTGTTTCTATCCTAAAAGCTCAGATATCTGAAACAGATTTTATAGCTTTTTTCTCCCTCTGTGCATTAAAGGAGAAGCAAAATGTGTGCGAGAAGGAATCAAAATCTCTGGACTGTATGAATTGTCAAGCAGTAAGATTTTGTACTTACACGGAAAGGCTCCTTCTAGTTGTGTCCTCCATGTGCTGGCAGGTACATTATTTGAGGATTACAGTTTCTTTTTAATGTTATTAATTTTGGAAAGCTATGATTTTTACATGCAGATACTTGTTTTTGTCCTTAGGTTAAAGAAAGTGTTCACAAGTTGTCAGATATAATTATGCCTGCAACACTTCTTGCCTTATCTTAACTGTGTGAAAGAGATGAAGCTTTTATTTTTTTATGAATGTATTTCTGCTTTAAAAGTTTAACACCAAATTGGCTGGCTAGAAGAGGGATTTAAGTATTAGACAGTTTTAGAGCACTGAGTGCATTATAGTCCATTCCACAGTGCATTTGAAAGGGAGACAAAGATTAAAAAACCCTGTTTAAGTATGACAGAAGTACTCACAGTTGGCAAGTCCTCAGTAGCCAGGGACCTTTGTTTGTTGATAGAAGCAGTAAAACTAAAGACCCCAGGCTATATTACTTTTTCTTGTAGCTGTAATAAAGAAACTAAATTTTTTTTTTAAATGGTAACAATTTTAAAGAAAACAATGTATTTAAACTGAAACTTATAACAATTCTGTATTTTTCTTTTCACGTGCTAAAAAATTTCTCTGGTCACTCAGGGTTATTTTAACTTGTATACCTGATTGCGACATCTCCGGGGACAGGAATGGGTCAAAAAATTTCACATACACCTGGGTCAACTTCAAATAATGGAGTTGTAGACGATCCTTGAGATGTCTCTTGGGCTACTTAAATTTTGTACAAAAGCATTTTTAGAGAAAGTTCATGTGTAGAATGGATAGACTTTGCATAGAAAAGTATCTGTAATGTGCATTGTTTTCTATTAATTCCTATGAGACTAAGAACCTACTTTTTGATTGTTTTTATATTTTAACTGCTAGTTTCTTACTTTGAACTGTATGGTTTGACTGACTTTACAGTAGTTTATTATCAAAACATGTTAGGCTTTAAAAATAGTTCTTTAACTACGAAGACTTTAACTCATTCTACTTACGAATCCAGTGCCAAAACCCAGTGTTTAGGTTAAAATGAATTTGCCGATATATATTGTTGTTTTTCTGAACTTAGGTCTATGATTATTGTGATTTCTCCTTGCTTTGTACTGAGTTCTGTAAGAGTGGTCAGTGCTTTGCTGGTGGGGAAGTGCTGGCAGCTTACAGACTTATCATCTGGACAGAAGATGGCCACAGTTACATCTACCAGCTGCTAAACAGGTGGGCTCAGATGGGAAATTCACACAAAAAGTTCAGGTACAAGATGAACTTTGGGAGGGTTACTATGGAAAATCTCTGCATGTTGCAAATGATCAAAAACCAGAACAAAACCACTTTGGCACTCAAAGATTTGCTCTGAGTTTGACAGCCCTCAGTCTTTGTTTGACACAGCAGGGGACATAGGAATAAGATTAGCCATGTAGAACTTGGGCAGCTGGTGCTATGATTTCAAAAAGTCTCCTGTAATTACTTATTTGGTTACCTTTAATTGAACTTCTGAATCTTGGATGTTACTGTTCTTCTTTCTAAAAAAATTACTTTCTAAAGCTTGTATGTTTAAAATTTCTTTTTGAATTATATAGTGGCCTTTCTAAAAGCATGTACCCTGCTGATGGGAAGGTGCTGAAGGAAACAGTTTATCCTCATTTACTCAGCTTTACTGGTATGAAGGAGAATAAGGTAAATTCATACAGGTTTTAAAGTTTGTCTGTTTGCAATTACCTGAATAATCCCAAAAGAACATATTTAGTTCTATAAAAACAACGATTAATATTTATTTTTTAATTTTGATATTGTTGCTTACAAACTTGAAGAATCTCATAACATTTTGTCTTTGATTTTGGCTATATTTAGTTTTTTCTTACTTGAAAAAAAGCCTTTGTCTTCAACTGTAGATAGACTGGTTGTTGTTTCTTTTTCTTTTTGCCAAAATTGGAGAAAATATTTTTCTAACAAAGGTGTGGTCTACAATATTTTAGCATCTTTTATTTTCAAATCTATAAAATTTAATGAAAAGAAAATAAATAATAAAAACTCTCAACAAATAAAACCATGCCATAAAACCAAAATCAAAAAAGGCAACCCCCGAGCAAAACGTAAGCAAGTGACTTAGTTCTTTTTTTTATTAAGGAATGTATGCATGTTTCAATATAACTACAAAAATAGGTTGTGTATCTGCCTGAAATTGAAGGGGTCTGAATCTGTGGCATTGTATCCACAATACTGCTGGCTTGAGCCTTCAGAGACATCATCTCATGCTGAACTTTGTTGCACTGTGAGTGGACTGATGCACCCCGAGTGCATAAAATAGACATGTGTGACTCCAGAACTGCGGTCTTGGCTTGAAGAAGCCTCTAATGTTAAAAAAAAAAAAAAAAAAGAGCTGAAAAAGTAGGTGATCTCTATGCTTTTGTTTGAGAATTCATATTGAGCAGAAAATGTTACAGCAATTTCAAATTTGAAGCTACTGTGTAGACAGGTATCTCAAATGGACCCAGCTGTGTTGGAAAACCTACTTCACTCCTTTTTATGTTGTGCTTTGTGTGACCATAAAGAAACAGGGATACCCAGTTCATTTGAAAAGTAGGAAAATTGTTATAATTAGGAAGCTGGAGAATGGGGGGCAGGAAAGATATGTGGTAGGCCTTCTTACTTGGGCAAAAAAATGAACCAGAACAAATAGAACAGATTATTCTGTGCAGCTTTGGTTTAGATTTTTTTTGTTAAGTCTGATTGCTTATGCTGTTAATGAAGTTGTAATTGTTGGAAGATGTGGATTTAATTCCTGCCTGAAGTTGCATTAGTTTGAGTGTTTGTGTGGCAGCTCAAGCAGATTGTTAAGCAGTTTCTGAAGATCTGCAACAGAAGCATATTTTTATTTGTAGCGGACTAGAAACACTGTTAAATATATACCTGTGTGAGGTTTTCTAGCATTCTTTCTTTCTGTTGACAAATGTAGGCCCTTAGGAAGCATGTTTGTTGCATAATCCTGTGAAGCCTGACAGATTTAATTTTCAGTTGAAGGGAAATATCATAAGCCGTTCAGCTTTTCCCCAAATGCTGTGATCTAAAAATCAGATAGAATAACTGCTGAAGGATGACAAAAGGTCAGGAAAGGTGAGGGAAAAGAAATAGCCAGAACACATGGCTTAACAAATAATAGGGTTACAGTGGTGGTACCAAGTTCACATATGCTTCCTCCCAAATAAAAGCTTTTTAAAAAATAATGACCTGCTCTTTTTTAATATTTCTGCTCTATTATTTGCATTACTCCCTAAATAGTTTTTATAGCAGATATGTGAAACAACCACATCACCTGTGTGATCTGTTTTGAGCCCCATTTTAAGATTATAAACCAAACCATTTTGCAGGACAGTTAATTATTTTGGAACTGACTCTCAAACTTTAATGTTGCAAAGAAGCATATCCCACATATGAGGCAATTGTAGAGAGTGATAAGCTTTCTCCTGAGCCTCTTTTTTTTTTTTTTTTTTTTTTAAGAATAAACAACTGCAGCTCCCCCAGCTGCTCCTCATCAGAATTGTGCTCCACACCCTTCAGCAGCTTCATTGCTCTTTGGAAATGCTGCACCACCTCATCACTGAATGATGCTGTTATAGACTATTACCAGTGTAAAAGCATAATTCTTACTTTTCATTATTTGTAGTCATGCAAGCTGTGATGACTAAAGCTTTACTGAATTTGTTTTGATGCAAAGATTATCAGTATTTCACAGCATGGTTTTTTTCAGCCTGACATTGGTCCTTAGGCTGGTGAAACTATAAACCTGGGGAGACCTCCCAGTCGAATTTTCCATTTAGGATGTAGGCTTTGCCGAGGATATTTGCAAAGCAGTTGATCCTTGAGAGGTTTGTACCAGGCAGAGTACACTTGGTCTGAGCAGGATTTAGTGGCAGATAAGGAATCAACTGTAGTTTGTTTTGTATTTTTACAGCTTTTGATTAAAAAAACCTTTCACTTTTACAATTAATTTTTACATTATTTAATCAGTTTTCTTTCAGAATATTGATTAATGTTCTTTTTCACAGAATCTTCCTATTGTCATGGGCTTCATGAATGAAAGAAAGGAGCCTTTCTACAAAGTTCTTTTTTCTGGTGAAGCTTCAGGACAAATCACTTTGTGGCACGTTCCTGATGTTCCTGTGTCAACATTTGATGGTTCCCCAAAAGGTTTGGCAGTTTTGGCACCTTGCTACCATCTTTTGCATTGTGTCTTGGGGTCAACTTTCACGAAAATCAAAATTCTCATAAAAAACTTTTTACACTAGAAAGTGATGCTCATTTATTCATTGTGTGATGATCGCCTGTAGTTAGGAGGAGTAGAAACTGCTGACTTTCCAACCCTAGACTGCAGAAAGGATAAGTTAAGGGAAGTGATCAAGAGATGAAAAGGTGTATTTTGTTTAGTTTAACTTTTTATGTTTTGTTTTTCATAAACAAAAAAATCCTCTCTGCCCCACCCTCTAGAGATCCCAATTACAACCATGTGGACTCTTCAGGATAATTTTGATAAAAGTCATTCCATGTCAGAAGGCATTATTGATCAACTTTGTGGATCTGAAGATGGATTTGAAAGTGCAGTTGTCACTTCCTCTGTGTACATACGTGGTCTTGATAAGCTTGTATGTGGATGTGAAAATGGGAAAATTTTTGTAACATTAGGTTTAAAAACTGCAAGAGCAAGACTTTTAGAAAACATATCTTTTATTAAAGGTAAGTCTTAACAATTTTTACAGATTCATCTCAGTCAAGCACAGAACACTTAATATTTCTGGCATCCCTTCCAGTGATCCCTGTAAAAATTCTCTGAAAAGTAGGGTTGGTGGTCAGGATTGGAATGAGGAAAATGCAAGATTATGATGATTTTTCTTCTTCTATAGCTATTCTATTGGATCACAGCTTAGTACTACCAAGGTGCTTTCCAGTAGTAGGAATCTGGGAATGGCTGTGGGATTGGGTATCTGCTAGAACAGATATGTGATATGTCACTATATTGGCAGTTAGCTTTTTAATTTGCTCTCTAAAAGATCATTCCACTGAAAGAAATGTAAAGGTACATCTTAGTAGTGAAGGTCAGAGTGAAGACCTTTGTTCTCCCTTTTAGGAACAGGTCCAAAATCTTTTGATCCCATGAAAATGTTGGTTTTAGTTATCCTTTCAGGAAATGTGCTGTAAAATATGGAACTCCTATTCTTAAAGAGCAAAAATAATTTATGTACTATTTTGTTTCAGATAATCTACCTTATAAGGTTCTGAATGGTCACAGTAGCAGAGTCACATGCTTACTTTATCCATATGACAAATCAGTAAGATTTGATCCAAGCTGGCTGTTATCAGGGGGCCTGGACTCTGTTGTGATCTGCTGGGATATATTTACTGGAGGCATCCTACACCAGTTTAATCTGCAGTCTGGTGCTGTGACAGAGCTCTTGCGATCCCCAGAACACTACAGAGTAAGTAAAAGTATAATAAATAATGTCTTAAAAAAAAATCTCTATATACCCATCTGCATGTGTGTATTTATATACAGGAGAAAATAAAAACACTATCTGGCACTACTTTAGCCCACATCATATATGCTTAATTTACCTTCACTTAATTGTTGTCTTTGAAACTTGCTTTAATTGCAGGGAGTTGAGTTCTTGAGTTTGTGACATATTACATTGAAGCTCTTAACATTCTATTCACCATTTTTAATATCATGATTATCAACTTATCTGTCAATCTGATTAAATCCTCCTCCTGAAATTTAAAAAATATAATCAGGCTAGGAGCTTGAACATAGTATTTCAATCTTCTTAGTTAGTCCAAAAAATATATATATACTTCATTTTGGTTCATGATAAGTCTTTTTGGTCCTTTGTATGTCTTTACATTTTATCATATTTAGAACAATTTAAAGTTGTGCTCTAATTAATTGAATTTTGAAGTTAAATTTAGGTGAATATTTACTGTACCGAATGTTCTATGTAACTTTTGAACATTGTATTCTGTGAAGCTGGGATTTCAATTTTTCCTCTTAGCCTGCCAAGGCATTTGATACTTATGAATGACTCAGAGTTCACTTACTTGCCAAAATTGAGTAGTCAAAAAAGTTGTTTGAAATAACAAAGTTTTTAGTATTTGTAAGGCTTATTTTCATCTTTATTCTGAAAACGGAGTAGGATTTAAAGCCTGGCTGGCTGGTGTTTGGGCCTTGTTTAAAGAGCTGAATTGTTCTGTAGGGGAATTTCTCTGTGTCACCAAAAATAACTTGCATGAAGGGAAGGATCTTGCAGTATCAGATCCATACAGTATGAAAGAAATTTGTAACTTAGTTTTTTATTAGAAATACGTTACCCTTGGGTTTTGTTTTTAGACCTGACATGATATATCACATGAACACCCAGTACGTTCTGGGAAAGAAATCACTGGAATACTTTTACTAAGTCTGCTAAAATGATGTGGTTATGGATGTGGTTACAGAGTTGAAACTGAAGTTTTCTGTTTTGCAGTTAAAAGATGAGAGTATAGTGTGCTGTGTGTGCAGTGACCACTCAGTAGCAATTCTACACCTTCAGAAGAGACAATGTCTCTTACATGCCAGAAAGCATCTGTTTCCTGTGAAGAAGATAAAATTTGACCCTCTTGAGAATGTGCTAATTGTTGGATGTGAAGACAATTCTGTTTATATTTGGGAAATTGAAACAGGTAATAACACAAAGGGATCGTCCTTTTTGTTTTGATGTTTTGCTCATTTTCCTGGATGTTTGTCTGTCACGTGTTGTTATAGGAGCATAATTTATAGAAGGCTGAAACATTAGTTGAAATACTAACACATTATGTGAATTGGAGAGTTTCAGTGTTTATATAAACAATAAAGAAAGAAAATTTTCATACGATTTAAGTTATGCCAGTAGTAAAATAGAACAGCTTAAGTCTGATCCTGATAATTGGAAGTTTAGCTGACATGGCAGTGAATTGAGTACAATACTCCTTGGAGTTATAAATAAGAATCAAGCTTATTAAAAAGACTGTTTTCAATTTAAACCTTTCCAAGTTGGAGCACCAAGTTATGCTTCCAAAGTGTCATAATCTGAGATGTTTTGATTTAATTGATAATCAGTTAATAGTGGTAGATAATTGCAAAGCTTACAGCTCTGTAGTCAGCAAAACTAAAGCTGACTGTTTTCAGGTTAAACTGTAGATTCCTAGGTGATGTGAGAATGTAATACTGATTCATATGGATTATAAATGTAGTTATTTGAGCTTAGACAGCTATTAGCAGTTGTAATGGTATTAGACACTACAGTATGAGTGTGCAAGCAATTCAGGGCTGTGTGTCCTGAGAGGAGGAAGATGCATTGAGTCCAGAGCCACTGAAATGCAGAGCATGTTAAAACTGTACCAAAAACCCTATTTTACTAACTGAGCACTGAGATCACAGTTTATTTTACAGGTTATTACAACACACTATCTACACTGTTTGCTTTAGACAAAAATAGGAAAAATCAGGTATATTTGATCTGTCCCTTCTTTACTCATAAAACTGTTGCCTATTTCAAGATTAAAGAAAAAATAAAATTGGTGCCACTGCTCATGCATATTACATATTCAGGCAGGGTGCAGATGGCTAAAAGTGTCTTTTGTTACAAGTATCACAGAAGAATGAGTGCCACAATGACCACCTCTATAAGAGTAGCTGGTACACAGGAAAAGCTGCTGTTATTTGCTATACGGTAGCAATTAACAAGTCTTTGTTGTTGTTGTTCCTGTTATGCATTGCTGACAAAAAGGTGCCACCTAGGGTCAGTACCTGAGAAAGCCTAGTAGGATATACTGTAGTTGCTTTAATGTTGAATTACATCTGTATTGCAGCAGAACACAAGAGGTCATGACATTGATCCTTGAAATAGGCCTGACCTAGAATCAAGAGCTATGTAGTTACTTCAGTGGGACTCAGGCAGACAAACCATTGTTCCAATGGGTGAGAGATATACACTGCATCACTGAGGCTCCTCTGCAGGAACACAGCACCTTTCAGTAGGATTTCATCTGTTGGCAAATGAATGGGCAGCCACACATAATACCACTTGCCTACATGGTTACCTCTGGACATGTTTCCTAACTTAGTTAAATAGGATAAATTCTGAGTGGTAGCCTTGTGCTCAAATTCCCTTATGGAATGGGACATATGATAGCTTTTATTGCTTCTACAGTCAAAAAGTTTATTTTTCTTCTGGCTGTGCAGTTAGCTTCATGACTTAGGCTTTGCCTCTCAGTTAAAGTCAGTAGAGTATCGTGTCTGAGTCATATATCACTGTTCACAGTTAAAAAACTGCATCTGAACAGTGTTCCTGTGCAAAAGGTAATGGACGGCTGGGAAAACAGCCAGTCTGCTTATAATTTGAGGCTGTGGATTAAGGAATTTCTATGAATATTTCAATGTTTACACTGTTGTAGAGTCAGCAATAGTTCTGTTGAATTTGACAGGTGACTTTAGGAAAGTTTTGAGACCTAAATACAACTTTGACTCTAGAATAGTTCTTCCATCAGGTAATTAATGGAGTGACCCCTAAAGCAGATGCAAGATTTCATTGTGCATCACAGTTCATTGTCCAGTTTCCTGTGACAGAGGTTGACACACCTGTACAGAAAGCATTCCAAAGGACATAAAAATGTTTGTCTCAACAGGTTTTCATAATCGTCACCTTATGGGACAGAAGCAACTTTGTGTCCTGGGTTAGACTCTAAACCAGCGCTACTTCACATACAACTTGTTGTACTCTTTAGATGAGATTTACAAAGATAACCTTAATTTATGTGATCACCAGGAAGTTTTCTGAGTACAATAGTCTGCATATATTCTAAATAAATAGGATTTCACCTAGTCTGTGAACTGCTATGAAATGTTAAATACCAGTAGTATAGTTGACTTCAAGTGTAATTTATGTCTGTATCTCTTCCCCACTGACTACAAAACAAGTGTAAAAAAATGTGGGGGGAAAAAGGTGAAAGATAATTGCCTGTTGCTCTTACAGGTCTAGAATAAGATAAATTTAATTATATTCTTTTATTCCCTTGTTTTACAGAGCAAAGAAAAATTATTCTAAGTTTAAATGTTGATATTGCACCTGCATATGGGCAGTGACATAGAAAACAATATAGAGACCATTAAATATGTGTGCCGTTAAATGTATTTTACCTAAATTTTAATGTATGGATATTGCAACTTTCCATTACAGTGAAATATCTTTCCATGACAATGAATATTGATCTAATAATACATTTGGAATATTAATATAGTATGTGTACAGGATAAGTTCCAAACTTGTGTGCTAGAAGACAAATATGAAAATCAATAAGAAATTTTATTCTAATTAAAGTGCAGAATATTTCTTCCAATAGCCACCACTTGAAATCCCCTTCAATAAGGAAATTAGCGGTTATATGTATTGCTTTTACATTTTCCTAACCAGTTGGTATCTTTGCTGTTTTACAAAAGTAAATATCATTACAATAAGATACAGTAATAAAAAGGATCAAAGGATTTTGCTTGCTGTGTACAGCATATGGCAATGTGTCTACCAAGCCACTTTTAGATCCAATGTGTATTAAGAGTGAGGAATGAATGGGTGGAATTCAAATAGAAATCATCCTTGCTCAGAGTTGATAATCTTCATTTATCAGCAATAAATTGTTTTTCAATTAGTATGAGTTTAAAGTGAATGTATTCTTTGAAGTTCATAATACTTGCAGAATGAATTGCTTGCTAATTTCCTGTTGCTTTCTTTTGCCTTGCAAGCCTTGCTTGGTTTTATTGTTTTATTGGTAATGATATGTTTAGTTTGGGTTTAAAGATAAAATAATATCTCTTAATGAAACTTCAATTTATTGTTCAGTTATCATACTACATGTTTAGCTTAACACTGGGTATATTATGGTTTTTTCATACTCCCCCAGGTAGTGCAGATTTTCAGAACTGTCTTATATGCTGCTAGCTCCAACATGGAAAAAAAAATTGAAGCATATGCCTAAAAAGTATTTTTATGAGGTCAGATCTCCTGAGCAGTCAAAACGAACTCTGCTTACAAACCTTACTAGAAAAGGTCAAAAATAAGAAATAAGAGCCAATAACTAAATAAATATACAGTATTTTGTTTTATCTGGACTGTTTGTGTATTGCTTTTCCTATTTGTGCTCTACTGTGAATCCTTTCCATCCTTTTCTGAATAGAACACTTTTTCTTGTATTTTGACATGTTTATTATCACAGTATCTGAGTACTTAGTAACAATAGTTCTACCATTTTCTTTAGACGTGCAGAAGCATTACAGTTGTCTTGGCTTCTAATGTCTGCATCTAAACAAACCAGAAATCCTAAATGTTTTATATAGAATTTTGAGAACATGCTAGGTGGTATGTAATTTTAAACCCTCCACGTTCTGATGCATTGAATAGACCACAGATATACATAGAAGTACCTGCTACCTCAATTCAGGGGCTTGCTTTGCTATTTCTACCTGTTTTTGTAAATGTAGCATCAGGGTGATGCTGATGTGTTTATCATGTGGTTTTTTGGTAGAGCTAAGTGAAGGACTATCACTTCCATTGGCTGCAATGAGCCTGGCTCTGTTTGCCACCATGTGCAATGGTCTGTATCTGTATCTGGTCCTCTCCTGCTGGAGGAAGCAGGAAAAGCAACAGTGCTTCAAGCACGGCTGCCACTGTGGCGGGACAAGGCATCAGCTTGGAGGTTCAGTTCACAGAAAGTGAATGTTCAGCTTTGAGTCCATGCTTTAAGGTATTAAGTTTTTCTGAAACACTTGTTTCCTTACTTTAACAAGAATGATAAATGGCTTGAGACACTTCTGCTGAGAAAGGAAAAAAAAATCGTACCACCTTAAGATAGCTGTCAAGCATAGAAAATTTTACCTCAAGCATTTAAAATCTCCACAGGTATCAATAAAATAAACCAGCCTATTAATGAGTTTGTCAGCCCTAATAAAATATACAATATCTAAGTGCCCTAATGAAATATGCAGTGCATTACTCAAATCCATCTGTATGGTCATAAACTTCATGAAAAATAGAGAAGAGTTCAGAATTCTCTGAAAGTAATTCTTGTTGTGTTAACACCACATGGATAAATTTCAATCTTGCATAAAACTTCTGCTGTTTCAGAAGGATACCTGCCATGGAGAAAATGAAATTACTCTGCAGAGTGATGTTATGGATCAAGCCTTTGATCCTATTGATGGTCAAACATGCTGGAAGGTTTTTGAACACTGTTTAAAGATAATTTTATGTAGTTATATATGTGCCAATATTTTTAGAATTGGTGCCAACAGTGAGACTTCTAAACCTGTAGTAAACAGCAAATATCAAATCAGTTGAAGAATGTGAGGGATGGGGTTTAGGTTATTTGGTTGGCTTTTTTTTCTTCCTAAGTAGACCTTTATTTAGTATATCTGACAATTTTTCTCAGCCCATACAGAAATTGGGGATTAAACTGTTTAGAAAGTTAAGGCTTATATTCTCAGAGCCACCTGATGAAATCTAAGTTGTATAGTTTTGATGAAACTTAGAACTCTATCAAATTAAATTTGGTTATTACTTTAATAAGATTTATGCCCAAGTAATCGTAGAACCAAGATTAATTCCACTTTTCTGACCTCTTTGTCCTTGTAAAATTTAGTGATTTACAGTCTT